TGATGGTGATGATGAAAATAAGCACACACAGTTCCAAAATAAGCACATTTTTTATTTCGTAATCCTCAATCCACCTCAAAATGTACACACATTATTATTTAAATGTTCTATCATGTTCTTGAGATGATTTTCTTTTTTCATCTTTTGTTGGCACCATCTCTGCAATACTCATTAATTCTGTTCTATTCTCGAACTTGCAAAGTTCCTCGCATCGAGAACTATCGTCGTCAAACAAACGTTACTGACAGTCGGGCAATAACTACTAAACAACGCAACCGTCTCACTGTTATTCGTGCACACTTATCTTACTTTTGTACATTTATTTTGAGTGCATCGAAATATGTATTGAAAATTTTTTCGCGAAATTAACGAGTTATCATCATTTAACCACGACACCGCACGTATATACGTAATAATAATATATACGTAATAATATAGAATAATACGTATATACAATATGCGTTATGCATCATCCATTACGCTAAGTACTACACCATCACCGTCGACGTGCGACGACGTGCGACGACGACCTATGCATTTTTTCATCGAACGTATATTGTAAAAATTATGCGTATACATAAGCACCACACACATTCATCTTTGCGATATATGCTGCTCCTCGTCATCGCCGAAAAATTTTCGAATCAACTTCGATAAACTATCGTATCATATCGCGTATTTTAATATGCTTTCAAATGCTTTAATAATCCTTCCGCAGGTTCACCAACGGAAACCTTGTTGCGACTTTTGCCCGGTTCAAGCCACTGCGATTAAGACGATTTCCACCACAGTATTTCCATCGCAGATATTCGGTTTCAATATCAGTCCCGGGCAGCGACGGGCGATGTGTACAAAGGGCATGGACGTAATCAGCGTGAGCTGATGACTCACACTTGATCAAAGGAAATAATTGCAATTCCCTATCCCGAGCATGAAGGATTTTCAACAGGTCACCAGTGCCTTTCGACAATGGTCATAGCACGTTGATTCCTCCAGTGTAGCGCGCGTGCAGCCTCGGACATCTAAGGGCATCACAGACCTGTTATTGCTCAGTTTCATGCGGCTGAACACCGCTTGTCCCTTTAAAAGATCGCACAAATCGTCCCACGATGTCTGGGCCGCGTGAGTTTTCCCATTTTGTGTTAAATTAAGCCGAGTCTGTTTTATTAGTACAGTAATATCAAATACAGAGAAGGATAGGGGTGCTTAGGAGCACCTCAATTTTTCAGTGGAAGCAAACAATTCGTAATGGTGCGAACTTTTAGAAGAGACAAGAGTCGATTACATATATCTCGAATTAAAATCAAAACAAATATGTAAGAACATAACACATATTTAACAAGTAGGAGAAGATATATCAACGTGGTGTTTGACATTGATGTAGCATTGATGTAGCATTTAGAGTAACGAAATTCTCCAATGATTTTGTACAACTTTTAAATATCGCATTAAAATATCGTTTTGCACCAAAATGCTGGTTTCCTTCACGTCGAAATTCTTCAGATGCTTCAAGACTGCTTGAATTATCCATGAGAATTTAGCATAATCCATTCAAAAAAAAATGAAATTTTAGCAACCTTATGAACGATACGAATTAATAAGCAAAAATAATGGATAATCACATAAGCCAGAAATAGAAAAAACCTTATAAGAATTAACTGAAATTGAATGAATCAGTGAACAACGAAAGTCGAAAAAAAAGTCTTTCCTTACAAAGCTTTTCTTCAAAAAAACAAAATTTAAAAAATAAAAAATAAACAAAACAACAATAAAAAATTAATTTTCAAAAAATTAATCAAATATCTCATCTTGAGAAAGCAAACTTCCCTTAATTTCCCATCCCAATCAGTAAGAAAGTGATCTTAAAAAAGCATATTTAACCTATATTTAACAAAAAGCTTTTTCAACAAATAATTACTTTAATTATTTAATAATGGGACTCGTAAATGGATCATCAAAAAATTAAATAACGTAAACTGTATTAATTTGTATAAATTAAATTAAATTAAATTAAATTAAATTAATTAACTGCTTCTTTTTTTTTACTTTTTTTACTAGAAAATAGTTTTAAGAAATTTGACACATGGGGATAAACCGTGGAAGAAAATTCGCCCTCCGTTATCTGCATAATTCTTATTTAAATGGAATATACAAAATAACTGTCAGCAAATTCATAAAATATTATTCATGCAGATTTTTAAAAATTAACACTGGCAATTGAATGGCTTTAATAAATGAAAGTGAAAATTAAAGAACTAAATTAAGCAAAAAGAAGCAGTCGCCCAGTTCGATAATCATTACGTAACTGTATGAAACTAATAACCATAAAACGATGGATGTATGGCTATTTGAAAGAACACATTAGCTTTATTAGAATACTCCTGTCGAATGTATCTTGTATCGCAAGAACCATTACGAAAACAAAAATGAACTTAACAAAAGTTGGGAACACATTCTTTGTTCGAATTTTCCGGAATTAATTTGCAATTTGCAAGAGCATGCAGTGATTCAAACTGTTTCTTAATTTCGGGTAATTTCCAACCCAACACATATTTCATAAAACATGGAAATGTGCGAATGAATTTGAAAATATTCCAAAATATATAGGAGGAGTCTTAAAATAAGATTCTAAAATTTTTCAACATCACGAAAATAAAGTTTTAAAAGTTTTATAAAAAATTTCTTGGAAATAAAAGAATTTATAAAAAAGAAATCGTATTAATTAACTTATTTATTCAAAAGTAGAGATATCTATACTCATTGATATCACATAAAAGAAGCATGGCACCCTGGGAATTATATGTAAATTGTTAAATGCGCAACAATTTGGCACGATAGAACCGAATTCTGACCGAATTCCGTTAAAACAACGCTATCACTTTCTATAAATTATAAATTCAGTTATAAATTTATATTTATAAATTTCACAACTAGAGAGCAAGCCTCAAAAAAGTTAAATGATTAAAATGAAAGAAACTGAAAAAATCGGGAAATTTAAAAAAGAAAAATCAAGAGTTTATATCAAGAGTTAAGAGTTTATGAATATAGATTAAAATATAAAGGAAATAAACATTGGATATCGCAGTGACTTGAATATTTTCATCATCCGGACGAAACTCGGTTTTTTTTCTGTTCAACTGGAAAAAAGTAAAGGATACAACCAGTAATAGCCGTTCCAGTTCCAAATTTAAACGACTCTCCAAGTTTCGTAAAGTTTCTAAGGTGGATGTCCAAAAATCATTTCTCTTTTTTATATAAATAAAAAATTCAATGGTGAAATGAACATATTTCCCAAATATATAACACATATATATATGTATATATTTGTTAAACAATTAAGGAAAATTTGAAAGATTGAGGGATTTAAAGGACTTTTCTTTCTCGATTTTTTTGGAAATTAGAAGAATTGGATAGAAATTCTTTTATGACAAAATTTTTATTGGAAAAAATGAATTTTGCAACTAATTTCAAGGCTATCAGAATCCGAAAGAATTTTAAAAGAACGAAGAGAATGAGAAGAGAATCATGGAGAGATTCATCAAAAAATCGTTGAATACTTGTGACTTATAATTAAAATCATTTAAAAATTAGAAAATGAAGGAAATTATTCGACAATTCTTCAAATCTTCTTTAATAAATTTTAATTTTTTATTTTGGCACAATTGAAATTCAAGCAAAATGATTAATATTTATAGACTAATTCGATATGGCCAAATAAATAAAGGTGCACTTGTTTCATTTCTTTTCTTGCCAAGAATTTTTATTTTTTTAATTTTTTCCTTCTTTTATTTTTATTTCTACAGTAAATGAAAAATTCTTAAAAAAAATGAAAATAGCCTTATGAAAAAAAAAAATTTATTGTGAATGGCATTGAGTTATATCGAAAAAAAGAAAAAAATTTCTATTTTATATCCTTAAAAGCTGAAAAATTGAATTGGATTTTTAATGAATATATATAAATACTTTTAGTGAAATGATCGTTCTGCCATTCGCTATTATTTCGATAATAATAATTATTAAGAAAAAATATTATTTCGTCGAAATTCGTATAAATGTAAGCAGATTTGATTGCTTTTAACATTAGCCAAAATGCTATCGGTATTCATTTTTATTAGTGTTACGGCAATAATTGCTGCTCATATTTCAGTACGAGATGACGAAATGATCATATCAATACTGGGAAATACGAAAGAAGCCGAAGATTTTAAAAGCACAGTGCCAGCATTAGGAGATGCTGATGGAACTATCTCTGTACTAGGAGAAGATTTCGAAGTCGGAAAGGCAAACTTCGATGGAGTAAGTAAAAAAGCGCAAAACGATGATGAAAAAAAAACTGAAATAGACGAAGGTGATGAAGAAATGAATGAAAAGATGACGGACGAAGATACCAATTTATCTCTAGTGGACAAAGAAAAGGAAAAGGAAGAAAAAAAGCCCAAAGTGGATGAAAAAGAAAAGCCTAAAAAGCCACCATTGAAGAAAGAATCCAAGAAAAATCGCAAAAAAGAAAAAATGCCCGAAGACGAGAGTAATATTCTTGAATTTTCTCACGTTTAACTAAAGAAAGTATACATTCCAGATTGGATTTGTTCTCATTTTCGGTATCAAATATATTTTTAGCACATACAACAATTTATAATTTATAAATAGATTGATTTTTTTCAGATCCAGAAATTTGCAGATATTTACAGGCAAAATGTTCACTTCCTAGTGTTAAGAAAATATGCAAAAAGACGTGTGCTTGTCCCGAACTTACTAATCTCCTAAATCTGTTGGCTGGTCAAGGTAAAAGCTTTCTGAATACCACAAATAATGTATTTATCCAATATTATGCTTGGATCTTTTATCATTCATCCAAATAAGAAAAAAATATGAATGTGAAAAAAAAATTGTGAATTTATGAGAAATTTAATTTTAAAATTTAATTTAAGAAATATTAAAAATTTAATTTTTCAATCGCATTGAAATAATTCAGTAGTAATAATTTACTAAATTTTTTTGAGTTCATCTTAAAATTATTTCTGTGGGACCATTTTAAATTTGTCATTAGGTGAAAAAACAATTCAAGCAATAAATTTCAGGATCTGCGCAAATTCACGGAGGTGAACAACCAATATGCACAGATAGACGAATCAACTGTAAAGATATGGTACTTTTAAAAGGATGTGGTGAACCATATGCACCCTATATGAAAGAATATTGCCCATTAAGTTGTGGAATGTGCAACCGATAATCGAATAATAGGTTGACGAGATTTGTTTCGAAATTTTTTATTTACTCGATCGTTTTTCTGTTTTATTTTACATATAACTATGATTTACTTTTGCATTTAGCAATAAAATTTGCTGAATTTCTTTTTATTTACACAAATAATTGGAAAGTAAAAAGGTTCATAAGGTTAAGCAGAATTGTCATCACTACAGGTTTCCCCATCAAAACTCGTATTTTCTTTTAATACTTTTTCAGGCAGCCTTTTTGATTTGACATTTCTTTCCTCTTATTTTCCTTCCCACTATTCATTTTCTATGGAATTCTGAGATCCATAGGACATTTTCCACATAATTTTGAGATCCGTAGGACTTTTCACTTTATTTGTATTTTAGACAATAAACGTAAAATATAATATCTTTAATATTTAACATTGAATATTTCCATCATATTTCATATTTTAGTGCATAAACGAGGAAAAAAATTCTTTGATATTTTATTTTAAAACTTAAATTATTACATATTATTTCCTCAAAATGCATATATATTTTATATATATTTTACTGCCCACATCAGCAACAAAAATGTTGCTGGTACTTATAAAAAAAAGATAACAAATATTCACAACGACTGTGTTAGGAGGCTTCAATGCAATTATCTATCTCGATAAAGATATGATAAAAAGGATAGTAATGGCAATATGCCCCTTTGACTGATAAAACTCATGGGAAAAAAAGGTAAAAAACATATGAAAAGATGGAACTCAAAAAAATGGTTTTTCTAGAAAAAGTCCACAGAAGATAGCGCAGAGGACGAAGACAAACTGTGTTTTAATGCAAAAGGTTTGGCTAAAGAAACGTTTCTGTGAGAGTGTTTAAGGCTTCTCTAGAAAAGGCGTTTAGGCCAGATTAGATTATAATTTCCGGCCAAATGAATGTAACAACGATGCATATGCTATAATTTTCTAAATTTTTTAAAATTTTTCCCGACATTTGCGAGCCTTTCATTTCCACTTTTATAAAATTTTTAATATTTATGGCAGAATTTTTGTTTTTTTAATGAAAAAAGATCAAAAGATCGAAAGGTTATCGCAGAGGTTTTAGGGATAAAATAAATGAATTTAATATTTAATTCAATATTTTGATTAATCGCATCAATTCTTCAATTCTTCAATTCTTTAATTTAAAATTAATTTAAAACAAATAATTACTTATCATTTCCATTACCACTTATCATTATTTATTTTTTTCTTTCCAAATTCAATTGGATTCGCTATGCAACTCGAGTTTCACCCTTAATGTGTTCCTTTAGTTTGCCAAGGATGTTCAAGCCAAAATATCATTCAGCCAGCTATGTCAAATAAGGTCGAAGTGATCAAGGAAACTGGTGTTGTTAAATGATGATAACTCGTTAATTTCGCGAAAAAATTTTCAATACATATTTCGATGCACTCAAAATAAATGTACAAAAGTAAGATAAGTGTGCACGAATAACAGTGAGACGGCTGCGTTGTTTAGTAGTTATTGCCCGACTGTCAGTAACGTTTGTTTGACGACGATAGTTCTCGATGCGAGGAACTTTGCAAGTTCGAGAATAGAACAGAATTAATGAGTATTGCAGAGATGGTGCCAACAAAAGATGAAAAAAGAAAATCATCTCAAGAACATGATAGAACATTTAAATAATAATGTGTGTACATTTTGAGGTGGATTGAGGATTACGAAATAAAAAATGTGCTTATTTTGGAACTGTGTGTGCTTATTTTCATCATCACCATCAAAAATATATATTATATAGTTATTATTATATAGGAAACGAAAAAACGACACGCTCTTAGCGATGGATCACTCGGCTCGTGGATCGATGAAGAATGCGGCCAATCGCGATGACTTGTGCGAATAGGTTTGTTCCTATTGGCACGTCCGCTTGAGGGTCTAATTATCGAATAAGATGGTGAAAAATTTTATATTGCATGTTTCTTGTTTATATATTCTAAATATCGTGTGGATATCCTCCGCTTGTCGAAGGAGCGCCACACTCTCACTTCGGGTCTCGTAATTACTAATCTTGGCGCTAATGAATTATTGTAGACGAAAACCGCAAGTAATTGGTCAATTAAAAATGAAAAATATCGCAAATTTATAATTTATTAAAAAATATTAAATTAAAGAGAAATTAAAATGTGCAAAAATTTAATATTGGAAAGAGAGGGAATGGTGATCGCCTTGCAAAAGGATTTATGAATTAGATCGAAGCGAACATTTTTAGATTCAATTGTAATTATTTAATTAATTTAAGAGATATGATTTAAGGGCTGAATTTCCAAAACTCGAAAAATAATAAACGACAACCGAAAAAGGACCTAAAATTGTTATTCGAAATGAATTTGCAACCAAAAGTCTATTTTTACCCTAATTTTACCCTAATTCTCGGTATTTTTGAAAGTGGCGCCTTCCTGCCAGCCCTCCATTCTCTATTTGCCACCACCATATGTACATATGTACTGCTTTAAGGTTTAGGCCATTTTATGTGCGCATTACTTATAATTCAGAGAGGAGGGAAATAGCTCGCTTCCAGTCGTTACTTTTGTAACGACAGTAAAAATAAGATAAAAAATAAGATTGCGGAGATCGCCGTGAAACAAATCGCGGTTATGCTTTATTTTATTTTATCGCGTTTGATGGATGGCAGAATTCAGTTAACAGAAAAGGAATTAACAAAAGGACGTGCATATTCTTCGCGAAATTGTGCGCGAACGTCACTGGCGAAAAGCGCTTTTTTATTTTCCAACTTTATTTTAGAATTATTAGAACTAAATGAATCTATTTTTAGATTCATTTTTAAAGAAATTACTTCAATAAGTTAATTCAATAGTTAATTACAAAAGAAAACACTAGAATCACTGATGATTTACTTCTCCGTTTATCTACAAATAATCAATATGAAAGTTAAAACCATAACTTCTATGAATGTTGCCGAAAAAAAAGAATCAATAAAAATGTATGAAAAAGTATAAAAGTAAATGCAAAATGACTGCAAATGATTGAAACTGTGAAGTTGCGAAAAAAATTACTATAATCTAATGCAATAAGTCTCTGTGAAATTAAATCAAAAATTTAAATAATTTAAATAAAAACAAAAAGCCCCTAAACTAACCTAAATTAGTGTATGGTAACCATAAAGATAAAAAGTTGAAAACAGTTGAAAAGTTGAAAAGATAAGGAGAAAAAAGGAAAAAAATCAAATAATAAAAACAGTGACAATGAAAAACGACGTCACTGACTTTCAGTTACAGGAAACTTTGTGCTTGTTTTCAGACTTTTATTGCAAAATCAATGATGTAATAAATGTTGTAGATTTGTTTCACTTGCCGATGCAACTTCATGGATTTGCTGAAAATAAAATTCTCCTAAAAATTCTTCGGAATCGGATTTGGACGAATTCAGACTTGTATATACTTTTTATAAATAAAAACGAATAAACAGAAAGTAATTATCGATTATCGGTCAATAAAATAAGAAAAAATGGATAAATGGTAAAATATTCAGAAAGAAAGTTATTGCAAACTTATCTCACTTCTCTACGATGCACCTGCTGTGAAGTCGACGGTCCATCATCCAAGATATTATGACTAGATGGCCTGCGATTTCCAGCACAACGATGGCAAACTACGTCACCAATTATAGAGCCACCACGATCATCAGATAGCAAATAACAGTCGGGTAATGAATAATAAGATGGCGATCGACGAACAGAGGCATCTGCTTCAAGTTCCAACTAAATAAAATTCCAAACTTATAGACTAGCAAGTTTTGCCAAATATTAAATTAAAAAATTCAAGTGAAGTAAATTAAAATTACCGTTTTAATATAAGCAGTGGACTGTGGATCTTCATTAAACTTTTCAAAAAGTTTGTTCAAATAACGTTGTTTAACTTTATAGGTTCTCATCAGACGTAATCGCTGTTGCAACGAGAATGTACGTATTCGATTTACCTGTCGCTCATAGCTTTCCCATAATTGTTCCGCACGACGTGAACCATATTCTCGAAGTCGAATTTTCTATTCAAAAAAATATAAAACAAAACGACAAATTATAGGAGAAAAATTTAAAAAAGAAATAGTTTGTAATTGTTTTCGTTTAATATATTTTATTGTTAAACATTAACAATTTCAATAAAATGCTTTCATTTTCGACAAGAACCTGAAATACAAATTTAAAAAAATCACTTGTTGATTATAATTATCGCGAATACTTTCAATATGCTGGTTAACATTTTCAATTTGAGCGGCACGATAATCACGAAAACGTCCTACCTGATTTGCATATGATGTACGCAATAGTTCAACCTTGAAAAGCAGAAAAGGAATCAACTTCAAAAATAATAAGATTTACCTAAAAATTTAATACGCAATAAGATCCATGAGCCTATAGCCTTATAATGTTTGATAATAAATGTAAAAATAACACCACAAACAATAAAATTCGCTAAATGATTTTAGATTCTACCCTAATTGATTTTAAAATTTGATAAATAACTGACAGGGAAATAAAGATTAACCTGTTGATGATAATTTTCTCGCAAAAGACCGATCTTTTTCTGATAGCTTTCGTGTAAATTTGCCATTTGTCGTTGCCTATACTTTTCGAGAGCTTCAACCATTCGACTTACTCGATTTATCCTTTCTGAAAACTTTCGCATCAGTAAAGTCCTCCAAATATTGATGCGCAATTTTTGGTTTAAAAAACCATCAAAATAGTGTTTACCACTTCTTTTGATCCACCATAGTCCAGTTTTTCGTATTATAATCCAAAGTATATTTAAAATTAGTATAGTGGTACATAGAATTATGGAAGCAAAAACAGATCCCCAAAAAACTGAACGAAATATGGCCAGTTGATACCATTCAGACAAATCTAGGCGAAATCGAATTACTGCTGAGACATTACCCTACAATATTCTTTAATTTCCGTGTATAGAAATCTTATTTATGTTCTTTTCTTTATTTTTGTTTTTAATTAAGTTTATTGATCAACTGATATTCATTCATCAACTGCAAACTTAAAAAATAAAATAAATCAAATTTTATTTCCAACAATAGCAAATAACAAATATAAAAAACTTGCATATTTATTTTTTGCAATACATTCGTAACGTTCAACAAGTTCTGGTTGTACATTCTGCACAACTAAATAACCACCAGGAATTACACGATATGATTCATTTCGAGACCAATGTAGATTGATTTTTTTGTTAGCAAAATCATAACTGCCAATCAATCTTTTTGGTCTAGTCAACCACCATTCGATAAAAGGTAAAGGGCTTCCATATGCTTTGCAAGGTAATATAGCTGATTGCTTGATCTTATCACGAATTATTTCTGTTTTATTTGAAATTCCTGAAAATATTTTCATTATCACAAACAATTTTTAGTTTATTGTGGAAATAGAAAGCATTTAATGACCAATGACCAACTCTAATAAAAAAAATATTTCTGCAGAAGATCCACAAATAAAATACCGAAATATTTAGAAATAAATTTCTTGTATTTACCGATGTACTAAAATTTTAATAATATGAAGACTATAATCCAATTTTATTTAAAAACTTGAAACGCTCGAATAAATGAAAGTTAGGAAAATAAAAAATAATTTGAAGAAAAATTTTCAAATCAAATTTAGGCAGAAATTTTAAATTTTAAATCTAAATTCCGAATATTCTCTTTTCTCCTTTCTTATTTTAGAATATTTTAAATTTGTCATTGATGAACTGCGGAAGAAAGCAACCTGAATAACTTTTGAAACTATTTTATTTTCCTACTTCTAATCCCTTTCAAAAATATAGACTGATCCATACAGAGTACTTAAGATTAAACTTATTTAAAAAAAAAACTAAATCTGGAAGCCATTTTAATAAGAAAATCTTTAAATTTAAGAATTAAAAAAATTAAAAAACCATTTTATGTAATATACCTAATAAGCAGTCATCTTCCGAACCATCTTCCGAACAGTTTAGTTGAGGACGCACAGATAACGACAAAAAATTGGTCCACAAAAGAAGACATTTATTACAATCCCATGGATTTTGCAATATGTCCACTTTTTGCAACTTTTTTGAGCTACAAAAATGATAAGTGATAAGCTGCGAATTCATTTTATTTTGAAATTCAGGATCGCAAACTAAATATAAAAAAGAAATTGAAGAAGAAAAAATTTAACCTCTTAAAGAAATCTGAAGGTAAATACTGAATCATTGAATCACTAAGTCGAAATGAAAGAATGTTCATAGGTAATTTCCCAAGAATGAAGCTAAGTTTGCGATTTGCAATAAGATCAATCTGAACAATTCAAAAATGTTCTTCAAAAACAAATCCTTCAAAATTTTCAAATACTCGATATTAAATGAACAACGAAAAGACGAAAATCACCTCATTTAAATTAGGGATAGAGATATTATCGAAATCCAGTGTTTCTATTTCGCTACTACTGATTGACAAATGTTGTAACTTTTGAGCAATAATAGGCGGCAAAAGTTTCAAGCCAGTGTTTTCTACATATAAGTATTGCAAATTCGGAGCAGAAAGCGATTTAATCGAGTGAAGAAGAGGATTATTCGATAAATTCAATGAAATCAAAGAATTCGGCCATATTACCGATATATTGGACAAAATATTGAATGATAAATCGAGTGAATGAATTTTAGATACCGAACTGAATGAAGTGATCTAAATATTTTTTAGAAAAATCATTTCATAAACTTCAACAAATGGACGAAAAAAGACAAATTTTTCAGAAAACTGTAGGAAATTTTATTAAAGGAAAAATGACAAAAAAGGTCATACGAGGTTGTGTGATACATTGAGCAAGCGCAAATTCTTCGCAAAACACGAATTAAGATCCACATTTTCCAAAAAATTTTCTGATAAATTAAGAATTTGAACAGATGAAACATATCGCAATAAATCGCAAATTTCACTCCAATTCACCAAGCGATTTTCACTAAGGTCAACTTCAACAACATTTTCAATATCACCACTTTTGATATTTATTCTTGCCAATTGACATCGACGAACACGAATTGTACGTAACGATTTACTCATTGGCGAGAAAATTGAAAAATTTAGTTCTTTCTAAAAATTGCTTTCCTTTTGCCGAACGAATCAAATTAATTTATTTTTATTCACTTATTCAGGTTCAAACTTGTCGAACCTGAAATTTTGTATACTTTATATTAGAATCAGAATATTACGATGATCCGAGATTTCGCAATCTGGGACTACCGCAATATCTCTTCGGACACATGCATTCCAATAATTAAATATCATTTTAAAAAATAATGATAAGAAAAAATAAATAAGAGATAATAAAATACATAAATAAGAAATTTGAACGATATTTATAAAATATTATTCAAATGAAAATTTTTTTTATTGAGCGCCTTATTGTCAGTTTTCCTCCATTAATTATAGAGATCGACATCCTAAAGCAATGAATCCGAGAGTGAGGGTCACTGGCTCACTCTGTTAGCTAAGGCACCATTTCGAAGGAAAGACCAAATATTTTGGTCAGATATTTCCTCCTAGTCCCTTCATTTCTTTTTCTTCATAGTTTTTAAATCCAATCTTTCATCTCATTGCAAATGTTGTCCATGCACAGTGCCACATTACTCTATAGTTACCTGCCTGACTTTCTTTCTCTATTGCCATTTCTGCTTTCATTGTATGAACGATGGAGATTCCTACAGTTTACGAGAAAATGTACTTTGCGTAGTGGGAATTGAGAAAGCGACATAAGAAAAAGTACTGCTGCGTACTGGATTTACTCTTCGTTAAACCGGTATTGTTAAGCCAGTAAAGCAGGAAAAGTACCTGGTAACAGTCGTCGAATTCAATCGTTTCAATTTCAAAAAAATGATAAAAATTGGTAAAATTGACGAAATCGATTTGTAAATTCGAACAATGAATAATTTTTGACGCACAATTACAGTAAATTTGATGTGGACAATAATTTATGCCAAAATTTTTGATATTTTTTGAGGTATTTTGTAAATTTAAATCAGTTATTTTGGATAAATCGCCATGGATGTGACTTCCGTAGAATTCCGCGAAAACTGTGAGGTAATTTGAAGAAAAATATATTAAAATTAGAAGCGAATACCCGCAATTTGACATATTCGTTATAAATATCTTCCTTGCCGAGAATTTACATCATATTTCTCGCTCATTCTCGCTAATATTTCGTGATGAAGGTTTATTCAAAAATTTTCGAGTAAATTTAAATCCTTAAAAATTTCGCCATCGATTTTTCCACTTTTTTCATCTGAAATATTTTTAAAAATAACTTTAAGAAAATCTTTAAGAAATCGATAAAAAACCTTACTGAACTACAACAAAATCACATTACATGCTGGCGAAAAAATGATGCCAAAGCAAAGTTCCAACAAACTACTAACAATCGGCTTGATGCGAGATTCAATTAGCTTCTAAATGTCGTGCCCTATTGAATTAAAGTATCAAAGTTCATTCATTTGTTGCAAGAGATTCTATTATTCTTTCCATCTTTCTTTTTTTTTTAACAGGATTAAAGCTGTCATGAACTCAAGGATCTGAGTGGTGGTAAAAGGCTTTGATCATCTTGACGCGCCGTTCGCATCCTCCGACGCTTATGATATCTCCAGCAGGATTATACAGGCGATAAATTTGCACGCTGGGCCTCACAAAACCCCAAGATTTGTGAACAAAATGAGTCCTTGGTCCAGTCAAGGGAAGCGAATAACTACCGGTCGTTGTCTGCACGGTGAGAGTCAACGATGGCAGCCAGAATGCTTACGGGGATTAGGGGCCAATAATGGCGATACCTATTAGAAACAGAAAAATTATGCGATATCCTAATAATAAGATCTTTTGTTGCAAACAAGATTTTGTTTTTAGTATTAAACACATTGACAATAAGTGAAAGTCGAGATGTTGAGGCGGGCGATAACGGCCCACTGCTACATTCGTTTGACCCGCGCCAAAGCACCACCTGATTCCGTAATTTCTGTAAAGCGAATTAATTTGTCATTAAACGAGAGGTGTACTTCCGTTACAAACGACTTTCTAGCGCACTTTACAGCTAATTAAAATAGAAATTATGTGCGTTGAAGGAAGAGAATATTATAAAGAAAATAGTGGAAAATACTAATAGCAATAAATTATTTGCGAAGAAAGAAGCTGTTATGTAAAGCAAAGAAGCAGTGTAGTTTTTCGAAAGAAACTGTCGCATCGGTCCGATTAAATGGGGCCGTATTGGTAGTGATTTTGGTCCATAAGCACATACCTGACTCCCTTACACAAAATTATTACCAACTGCTTTACTTTTTTACTTTATTGCATTGTTTTGATTAAACTATTTAAAATGGTGAGAATAGAGATGGCGGCTCGATTATACGTTTATAGCAATAATCATTTTTTTTATGATTGTCAATTTATATTTCAAAGTAATTCAAAAAAGTAATTATAAAATTGAATTATTATTACTACTGTAATTATTATTATTACTATTACTATTATTAATAAAAGTAATTATTTAAATTCTTCCAGTTATTGGAAATGGGCATAAGATAGCTTAGTGAGTTATTGCTCAATTCGTAGAGCCAATGCCAAGGTTCTATTCCCAGCAGGAGTGATGCTGGCGACTCACCTGTACTTCTATCGCTAAGATATTCTCTAGCATATTTGTCCAATGCGACAAGCCAGCGGAACGAAAAAAAATGTTATTGGAAATATTTTAATCAATTAAATGTTTTTGAATAAATAAATGGTTGGAAATCCTTAATAAAGTAGTGATCAAAATAAAAAAATTTTACTGAAGTGTTTTACATCTAAAATAATCCATTGATTGAGTTTCATTTCCAGTAATTTTCTACGATGAATTTTGTAAATGTTAACGTTTTTTTTCATTTTATTTATATTATGTTGTATATTGTGATTGTATGCATAATTAAAAATTTGTCATTTACATTTTAAATTGATTTAACAATCTTCATATCAGTATCTATGATTCGAACCATTAACAATTTTATAACGTTTGATATAATACCAACTACCTTGTTCCACCTTTTCTTTCAAACGGTACATATCCATGTCACCATTCCAATATCTGAAATTTATTCAAATAAATTTCACATAAAAATATTGTCGAAAAATCCGCTATCAACTATTCCTCCAAAATATTTAAAATTTCTTTTTGAATATATGATAAAATTTTTTCAATGTTCCGCTTGAAATAATTGAAATAGGTGTTGGACAATTAAACAATTAATCGACCCAAATATTATCTCTTATCTTTTTTCGGTTATCTATTCTCTTCTGTCGTTTCATTAACTTGCTCATTAATTAATTTTCTCGTCAATTATTAATCAATCATTTAATCATATGATTTTTTAACTTAATTTTTTAACTTAGGATATGTGGCAAATTTTAGCAATAAAGGAAACGCTATAGTGATTACTAACTGAAAATATAAAAATGATAGCAATTAGTGGAATTTAATTTAATTTAGACAAATTTAACCTGTTAAATCGTTTATATCCTGCACGATCAAAATCAGGTAACGTTTTATCTGGAAACAATCCAGACCAATGTGCCTAAGCTCTTTAAATTTAGTAAAAAATGGATTAGTTTACGTAATAATTTATAATTTTTATTTTTGGTATTGATGCTTTTAAATATGATAGATATATTGCAGTTCAAAAAATCTTGATGAAGTCTGGAGATTGAAAAATAACTCACCTGCATAATACAACGTTCAATGCGGAATTGCTGTTGTTTACAAAGACCAGTAATTTGGCGAGGTAAAATAGTCCCATCCTCTCTCATAAACTGTTCTAATATAAGAATGTCTTCATAGCTTATCTATAAATTTATTTAAGTCTTATGAATTTTATGATAAATGTTAAGGCCATAATTATATCATAATAATTTTTAAAAAAATGCTCTCGATATGTAATGTAAAATTAAAAATAGAAAAAAGCCAAAAACTTCATAAATTTCTTATGACCTTATTTATTCATTCTTTCAATAATGGAAAAGAAATTTTAAATCTTTTGAAAACTACTGGATACCAAAATAAAAAATAGAGCTACTTATCAGTTATGTAGCATTGGCGTTGGAAAATTTACCCTCATTCTTCTGTAGTTTCATTTTTCTCTTTCTTTTCTTTCTAATCCTTTATACGTATTTTCTACCATGTTTACACTGGTAATTTGCCAACAGTTCGCCTCGCCATCTTCTATATTCTCTATCTTCTATATGTTTCTATATTTTTTATTCATCATTGTGTTTTTTCGGCTTTCTGCACTTTAACTTCCATATTTATTTCCACTTTAACGACCAATTATTTACTCAGTAACCGTCCATTTAATCAAAAAATAGCGAAACAATTTTTTTTCTTAAGAGCTCACCATTACTGATTAGACTCACTGCGCTGGTTTGTATAACTAGATAAATACGCCATGAGTCCCTTGGCGACAGAAATACAAAGCTGAGTCGCCAGCATCACCAGGAGTGAAACAACTATTCTTTCGTAACATTCACAGTAAATTAAGAATAAAATAAGAGTTCCTTAAAAACCGAATAAAGAGTTAAATATACTTTAACTGGAGCATTACAAGTACAGAATGAGCAACCATCTAATATCTTTTTAAGCACCTTCCTTGGCGATTTCTCTTTGAAATTAACGACTTCAACAGTTGTTACATCACCATCTTCTTTCACTTCAACTGAAAAATGTTCATTCGATAAATGTTTAACTGTTTTACGAAAATAGATATTTGGAGCTGCTCAGAGAAATTAAAAAAATTCATATTAAAATTTTTTAGAAATGCTTATGGATCACAGAAATAAGTAGATAAATAGAATATTTCCAAATAAATCTGCAAATAAATTCTTCCAAGATACGGATAATTCGGGTGGAAAAATTTATCATAAAAATTTATTAATGAGCAGATTATATAATAATAATAATCTAACTTTTAGTAAACTACTTTTAAATATTCGTGAAAAGCTGCTAAAAATAAATAAAACAAATATAAATCAAAGAATAAAATATTATTAATACGAAGTGTTGTTCAAAAAAAGTCGTAAAAAATGTGACATAAGCAAAATAAATATAAATAAATTAACTTTTTGATAAAGCATTGACTGAAGTAGAAGATATTTGGCGAAGACAATAACTGAATGAAATTAATCGATTTGGTAATACTAAACCATTCTTAAACATAACTGAAAGTAAATTCAACAAATTATGAAACAGCGACAAAATAACTTTCGGACAGCGGCTAGTACCAAAGATTTACCTGGATTTCTATATGCCCTCTGATGAAAGGGTACTCTACTCTAGCAGTCAGCAAGTCCAATCAAATAATAAATAGTGTCCGCTGTTAGAAGCTAAAGTTTCTTCGTTCTTCGTTCATTTCTATCGAATAAATCTACTTCCATCAAAAATAATTCATTTTACTTCATATCTCCAATAGAAAACTGGAGCAAAGAAATTCTGCTTCCAATTCCTAAGAAAGGTGCTAGGACGTGCTGCGACAATTACCGAAAAATCAGCCTATTGGACACCTCCAGAAAAATTTTTGCTTCCCTTCTGCTAAATAACTCATGACAACACGAGATAGCAGAATGCGTCCTAATCAAGCTGGATTCAGACTGGGACACGGTTGTGCTGACCAGATATTTAGCTAGAAAGTATGCTGGAACATCGCTTCAAATACCAGTACCCACCGTAACTTGCTTTATCGATTCCACTTTCGATTCGATTGATAGAGATCGCTCTGGAAAGTGATGGAATGTGACGGTGTCCCAGAGAAGATCATTCAGCTCATAAAGGCATTTTATCAGTATACCCTGGCGCAAGTCTGTATATAAGGAGAACTGACAGACTCCTTTGAAATAAAAACGGGGCGAGTGTCCATCAGAGCTGCGTCCCCCACAATATTCAACTATGCAACAGACTGGATAATGGGCATCGTTTATTGGCACTCAAGAGGTGTGCAAATCAGTCCAGAGCATAGCATCACATATCGAATACGCTGATGATGTAGTCCTTTTTACTGACAATTATGATGAAATGCAAATAATGTTAAACAATGTGTTAACAACCGGAGAACTAGCGAGAATTGGATTCAAAATCAATGTAAATAAAACAAAGTTTTCGTCTTATATATTAAAAGTTTTCGTCAAGATGCTGATAAAATACTTACTTTTATCAACTCACTGCCAGTTGAAGAAGTGCTGGACTAAATACCTTGGATCCACTCTAATCCCAAATGGCCAGGCAAAGGATGAAATTGCAACCAGGATAACGACATCTAGAAACATGCTTTTTCGGTTGATAAAACCTTTATGGAACCGTTGCGATGTCACCATAAAGACAAAAATCGGGGTCCGTATGGCTCCAACTCGTTCGATCTTGCTATATTGCTGCGAAAATAGAGAGCCAATGAGAGTGGAAGATATTAAGAAACCTTTGACTACTCATGTTTAGATACATGGATCCATCGAGCGGATAAAATATCACATGATCGCATCCGCGTTCATTCAAATACCATTTCCATAAATAATGTGATCACAGAGCGTCGCCTTCGCTGGTTAGGGCACGGTCCGTCTCCGTCGTCCTCTACAGGAGTTGACGCATATTTCGCTACTTGCCGAACCCTGTGATAGTTGGAATCAAAAGTGAGGAGGGCCAATCAAGACCTGGACTGATACAGAAAGATTCTGAACGCATAGGAGGACCCGACGATATATGGACTCAGATGATGGAAAAAGGAATGGTCTATCACTCACTACTAGCGAAAGCGTCGGACCGGGCAGCTTGGAGACGTCCTAACCAGTAATGGTGAGAGCTGTTAGAAAAAGAAGAACATCTCCAATATTATTTCCCCTTTTAGTGAATTATCGTTTATCAACAAATAACTTCTGTTGCTACCTTTTAATGTTACAATCATCACGTTCTAAAAAATAAAAAAAACATAAATTATAAAAACGACATAAGCGAAAATTTCAGGCACATAGAAAGCATAAAGTCGTTTCAAGACCCGCTTTATTTAAAATTTTATGAAGAGATTGAGAAGAAAAGGTGAAAATTTTTGAAACAAAAATGATTTTTAATTTTCAAGAAAATTTTCCGAAATTTTTATGATCTCTTATGTGTTTGATGTGAGATTATAAATGGTATATTAGTAAGCCACGATATTTCTGTGATATTCATTGATGGGATGGAAGCCTTCGTGATAAGCAAACATTCACCGTATAATTACTAATGTCAGAAGTGATGAGCGCTTGCTTATATTGTGGCTGTAAGCCTTGTTTGTGCAATAAAACTGCAGCAAAGCTCTAGTAAAGCATAGGCAATTTCCTTCCGTTTCTGTCCTCTACAACCAGTCAACGAATTGCCGCTGTCCACCTAAGAGAAAAGCACTGATATTTAAAGTACTGATATGTTCTGATAGACCCGTTCGTATTGCATGCAATTGATCGGAGTTAGAGCGTATGCGCTGGTACCCGAAAGATGGTGAACTATGCCTGAGCAGGATGAAGCCAGAGGAAACTCTGGTGGAAGTCCGAAGCGGTTCTGACGTGCAAATCGATCGTCCGACTCGGGTATAGGGGCGAAAGACTAATCGAACCATCTAGTAGCTGGTTCCCTCTGAAGTTTCCCCCAGGATAGCTGGAACTTATTTTGAGCAGTTATATACGGTAAAGCGAATGATTAGAGGAATTGGGGACGAAACGACCTCAACCTATTCTCAAACTTTCAATGTGTATGACGTCTCGCTTGCTTGAAAGAATTGTGAAGCGTTTAGACATTGAATGTGAGTTCCAAGTGGGCCATTTTTGGTAAGCAGAACTGGCGCTGTGGGATGAAAAAGTTCTGATAAACTACCGATGTTTTATGTGTTCTCCCGATCTAACTAATAGAAGGGTGCAAAACGTGAAGCATTACAAAATGCAACTAAAACTTGATTTCTACAGGCAATATTCATTTTAAAAGAATATTTTCGATAGACTTTCTTTATGTAAAAAAATACATTTATTGAAAGAAATTCGACAAATTGAAAAACTCTAAACAAAACTAATAACAATGGAGTTTATGTAAAATTAAGGTTAGTTAAAAATTCAAAATCATTCATATGATGGTACCATTTTAAAATTATTTCGCTGACATTTTGCATTTATATACAAATAAAAAACAAGTATTTTGTGAATTTCGTAAACATTTATATGTGAATATTGCTCATTATTTCTGGTTAGCTTAACTGGCTAATATAAAATTCAGAAATTCTGCCAGTCTCCAGCACCATCGGAAGGCTAACTAATCCATAATATCCTATTCAGATGAAGCTGATTTGATATACTTTAATTTCTTAATTTCAGCCAATTAACCAATTACAGTGGAAGAACTACCAGCAAACTCCAATCCAATGATATTCATTTTATAATCTTATTTATATTTTTGCGATATTTGTTTATTAAAATTGGAAAAATTTTGATAAAAATTTATAGATACCACAATGCATTACAAATCTACAGGGAAGAAAACCCTTTCTCAATTTCATATAATTTTTTGCTAAATATCAAGCAAACTCGCTAAAATCTAAAAATCTAAGATTTAATTAATTTCAAATATTTCCTTCTATGTAAATTTCCTAAGTTTTACTTTTAAATTATGGCAATCCTTCTTCCTTATCAAACTTCTAGTTGATATGGCAAAAATAATATTTATAAAGTATCAAATAATTAATGTTGATTGTTGATTGATGTATGATGATTATATAAGCCTTGTGCCATAAGATGCAAAGCTAAGGTTGTTTGTCGGTTATTTGTCGATGATTTCTTCAATTTTGCGCGTTTGTTCTGTAAAAAAAAGATTTTAGAAAAAAAAGAATTGAAATTTTAAACATTTTATTGATTTATAATCAAAAATTTATAATTGATTGTTTAAAATTTTTGAAATCTAAATTAAAGATTAAAATTTCAGTACGAATTTTGTTCTCTAAAATACAAATGTCTTATCGCTTTTCTGCATTTTGAAAACTCGCCTCCAGCAAAATAAGTTATAAAATAAGTTATAACTTTAAAATTAATCTAACTTAGATTTTTTGGATATTTGGAATATAAAACAGAATTTGCACAATTAATTCTAGTCGTATTAATTTGGTAAGTTCTCTTTAAATCAAAATTATAATAATAAGAATTGATGGATTGAAACTTCTGATATTCATGGTTTATCCGTTTTACAAATTACTAGTAAAAAATTGCCTACTGAAATATTGTTTCCAGTTTTGAGAGAAAATTGATGAAATATTCCATCAAATCTTTTGGCTCTAATCTTTTGTAATTTCAACTCATGAGAAATTTTCTTTTGCATTTACTACATTAACGCTTTTCTACTTTATCTCACTTTACTTATCACGTCTACACATATACCCACAAAATTTCTAATACCAGGTGTATATAGCGCATAGTTATATTCACCAAGTTCTCTCTTTCTAAGAAATGGCTATTATTTCTACACGACTAAAATATCACTATAAAAAAATTTTCCATAAGATTCAATAAAATTTTCAATAAATGAGTTATTGGAAAATAAAAATTGAAAAATTAAAATAAAAACAAATTTCTTTCTTACTTTTTGCTAATATTTCATACTAATTTGCATCTTAAAATTAAATTAATTAAATCATTTTCAATGAAAAAAAATGAAAATTTCGAAAATTTGGTTTTATAAGAAGAAAAATGTTCAAATATTTTCCATCGTTTCATCTCTTTCATCAGAAGTGATAATCATCAAACTTAATCTAAAAATGCAATCTTTATATATTTCTCACATTATCATAAATAACATTTATTAATAACGATTATTATCATATATATACATATATGTACATATATATATATATATATATATATTATAACAATTGCATATCAAATATATTTCGTATATTACAAGGTCATTTATATCAAGATGATCAAAAGATATTAATATTGCATTAATAAATGAATATTATATCGGAAAATTTATTGAGATAATTTCGTCAAGAAGATAATTTTATACTATAAAGCAGTAAACGGTTGTTGCTTAGATTATCATTTCCAGTATTAAAGTCCAGTATTTTTAGTATATTTCCAGTACTAAGGCGTTGTTTAGTTGTTGAAACTGGTTTAAAAATTAGGGTGGTTTGGGATCTATTCTTCTATTCCCAAGTGATTCTCTGATTCTCAATAAAGTTCCTATTCAATGCACGAACATTATCAAAAATATTGCGCTAATCATTTAGCTACTATCTATGCATAAATAAATATAAACTAATTCGTTCTGAAATCAAATTATCAAACTTAATTTAAAACTCCAATTATTTTAGTTCTAAAGCTCTGACCATAATAAATGATAACACAAAAAGAAAGTTTAAGAAAATTTCTGTAAAACTATAAATTTCAATATTAATTTGGAATTTGAATTTCAATTCCAGCTACCAGTCAGAATTTTCTTACTGGTCTTTTATTAGGTAGATTTCTTTTATTTCGGTGGAAAAATTTGTTTCTAATGTTTTAAATGATGGGACAAAATATTTCCAGTCCACTTTGACTACATGCACAATATTCAAATGAACAATGGCTCAAATTATCCTACTGAAAGGCAAAGAGCTACCATAAAAAATGAGGATGATGCTGGCGACCCATTTTTTCCCTATATTTCTATCGTCAAGTATTCTCATCTATTACTGCTGTAGTAGAAGTCAGCCTAACCAAGATGGTGGTGAACGCCTATTTCTTTTAAAGAAGTCTAATCTTCTTCAAAATAAATAAAATAAAAGTTCTGTAAATTTTCAAACTTAAACTTTCTAAATTTGTTTTGAAATACTTCATATATCATTTGATATATTGATATATCTAAAAAACAAAAAATGAGAACTTTCTTAACTGAACCAATGTACGTTATAATTGGCTTATCAATAAAATTAATCATTATGATAAGCACGTTAATAACAAGTTTCGCAGAAAGGAGAAAGAAAGGTCATTTTATTAGAATTATTGCTATGTTCTACGGTAGTTATCATTAATCTACTCATATTATTATTATCTTAATAACTGTTCCGAATCGTATGTAATCTTTATGGTTGTTACAGCAAAAAAATTTGTCATTTTAAAAGCATTTTTCTCTTTTTCAGTCATTCGCTTTCCTTTTTTTTTAAAGGCTAATTCAAATAATCATTCAAATATAAATTTAATGTTAGTGGAATTAATTGATTAATTCATTCAAAATAGGCAATTGCCATCGCCAAACAACTAATAGCAATGAAAATTGCAAAAATTATTTAGTACAAATACATCCATTTTGTTTATTATAGTAGAAACAGTTTTGAATTTTTTATTTTATTTTTTCAATATAACTCACACTTTATTAGCGCGTGGCCACCACTGATCTGCTTCAACAAATACGAATAATTTGCTTTAGAAGATTAGAAATGAATTTTTTCAAAGCGGTATTTTTAAAGGAATAAAGGAGTAGTTTGTTGTTTGTTCTTCTTTAATTCAAAATTATAAAAGAAAAAAAAAATTAGTTACTGAATTAGTCAGTAAAAAGTTACTGAAGTTAATCAAATTGTACTTCAAAGGTATTTTCAATGATAGATTTACTCTCGTCAAAGGGTAGCAATCGAACCTATAACGACTTAGACTCTAATTAAAGTAGTCGAGAGTCGACCAAGAGTGGAATAAATATTGTTTAAGCTCGCTTTTAACGATTGTTTTGTTAATAAAATTGGCTTATATTGGCTTATGCTTAACATATACCTAATTCGATTAAATTTCGATAAGAGGACATAATAAAGATGACAAAAAAAAGATGGATAGGAGAATGGAAACGATTTTGCAAGATATTTAATTGACATATGTTTTCATTAAATTTATCTAAAAATTCAAATAAAAATATCTTTTATGTTGAAGGAAACAAGTTTTGTCTCTCTATCAGAATTTGTCGACAAAAAAGCGGTAAAACTGCGACAAAAGGGCAAAAATGAATGAAAATGTCATTTAAACACAAAAAGAATTTTAATTGAATGTGATTTCAACATAAGATAACAACTAATTTTCACTAATTTTTTGATTGTCACCTTTGATAATAATGTATTTTAAAAGTGTTTTAATTTGATAAAAAAATTTTAGTTGAAATAAAAAATTAATCATTTGTTCATTTTTGGTATAAAGTACAAAAGTAATTTTGCCTAATCTGGCAAATTGGCGGAAATAATTTTGGAAGAAGGAAGATTTCCGGCAAAATCAAATCAAATTATGCACTTAATTCATGAAAAGAGAAATATAATTTACTCGAATAATAATTTTCCGAGTGGCTCTCTGGCAAAAATTTCTTCCTAAGCACTGAAACAGTTAAACCAGATTGGTGCTATTAGAAAGGGAAGAAAATCCCTAGAATTAAGTGGCTAAATGATCGATTAAGATGTTAATTATTGTCTAAAATAAAATATCATGAAATTCGAATCAAACTTTATGGTCCATTAAACTAAAATATTTTTAAAATCTAAAAATTGTCGATAAATTTCAAATTATATAAACCATCAATGAGACAATAAGTTATAAATTAAAACTGACACATATTTTCAAGTCCTTTTTTCAGTTTAATCCTTCGAATTTTGAAATTTTTTTTAATAGTGCTCCACCTTTACCGGCAATTCATTGGCACTTTTTTGCTAAGGGAACTTCCAGTCTCTTGTTTAACTGGCTTAACTGGTTTTGCTATAGTGAAAGACCACATGTGATAGAAACTGGTCCGCAGCACTCGGATGATATTTTCAATAATATATTTACTTTTGATAAAAGATAAAAATCCAATCCACATTGCTTAACATAAGTCAAAATAACATATCAGTTGATCACTCTATTGTTAATTAAGTTCTTAATCTCATTTCATTAAGTGATCTTCTATGAACTAATTCTAAAATTCTAAAATTGCTTTATCCCAATGAAAATTATGGCAAATATTTGAAGGAAATTAACCAAATAAAATTTCAAGAAGTTTATAATTTATGTTATTGTTTTAAAAAATTTCTTTTAAATTAGATTTTAAGAACTTTTTACAGCAATTATTCTTTTCAAGGATCTTCATTTTTTCCATTTTTTTGTCAATCTTTATTTAAACCTTGCCAATTGAATCTCTGGCTAAAAATTTCTAGCCATAATATCTAGCCAGCGGAACGAAAACAACCAGAAATCAGTCAGTCATTTTGCTCTGCTTAGGCTTATTCATACAATTTCTTATTCCGCGTTTTTTTTGTCCAAATCTATTGCTTTTAACTAATTAATGAAAAGCTTAAGTTTTACTTTAAAATACCTTTTAACGCAAAAATCTTAAGTAATCCCTTGCAAGAAAAGAGGTATTTTTTCAGGTTTTGAATAATTGAAGAATCTAATAAGAAAATTATTTGGCAATTTAGGCTTAGGAATAAACTCAGAGGCTTAAGCTTAAAAGGAAATGAAAGATGTACACATGTACCTGAAACCATATTTTAATTTGAGATTCATTAAGGCCAAGTTCGTGAGCTAATTCTTGACGTCTTTTTTCAGTTAAATAACGATTATCCATGAATTGTTGTTTCAATCTTTCTAATTGTCCAGCAGTAAATGCTGTCCTTGGGCGCTTTTCATCTTCACTCATACTTGAACTTTTTCGTTTCGTTCTTCTTGAACGCGGGCCTGAATTCTTTTCTTGTTAAAAATTTAAAGTCATTGGAAAAATTCTATTTCACACAATAAATGGCTATCATTGAACAAATTAATATAATAATAAGTATCTAAAGCATGAAATAATTATCAAATAAACGAAAAAAAAAGGAGAAGTGAAGAGGAAAGATAACCAGAACTAGGACGATCCGAATATCTTGTACAATATATCCACGCTGGAAACGGTATTCCAATATTTTCCTGCGCCATTGATGAACTTTCTTTTGGCGACTTCTCATGCTTAAAAACGAAAAAACAAAATTATTTGCAGGTTTATTAACCTAAGCACTCATAATCCAATATCATGCACAGTTCACTCAAATATGAAAGGGTGGAAATAATTATGACTAAGATTATGTGAGAGTGATTTATATAGTCAAAAATTAATTATAATCAACCTTTCCAAAAAGTGGATCGAGAATATTTTGGACCGAAAACTTTAACTCTTGACTTGACGATGACGATATTGAATAATCATCGCTTGTATTATTAACATTTGAATTATTATTTAAAACATCATCTTCATATAATTGGTTCTTGGCTGATTGCATTGGCTTGACAACAGCAATTTTGACTTGTCTGAAATAAAAAAATATCTACAATTCGCTTAAAAAAGACCTCTTATAATACCATTACGAATTAAGAGTTGATTCCATTTGCAAAAAGTATAAATAGTTTAAAAAACAACAAATTTCCGATAAATTTCCAAGCCAATTTTTATTAGTTGATTTTGCTCGTTTGTTATTAAGTAAAGGTTACTTCAAAAATTTAAATTTTATTAAGCTATTATTAAGAAAAATTATATGAGAAATTACATACTAAATTATTGAAATAATTTGATACGACAGGCAAATTTAACATATGAAATATCGACAACAATGCGCCACTGCTTCCACCATTTAACCATTTTAAATTTTTCTTGCACATAATAAACGGCAGTACAAAATGGCAAAAATTTTATTTGGAATTTCGAGGATTTTATGAAGAAAATTATTTCAATAAGATTTAGGAAAATAATGAAAAATTATGAAATAAGTGGACTATCACCATGAGGAACAATGAGCAATATGCTTATCATAAGTTCGATCCCCGATCCTTATAAGTAAACTCATTATTAAAGCAAAATGCGGGTAGCGTTGGAGATATGTATTTTGTCCCAAAGTCTAATTCTAAAGAATAATGATGATTTCATATTCAAGAATTTGTGTTTATAATTATAAAACCATATTTTTTGCTCAAGAATCAAAAATATTTTAAAATTTCCATTCATAAAAATTTTGCCTGGAATATAAAAATTTGAACTTTGGCTCAATATTGCAATTTATTGCATCAAATGTATTGCTCATGAAGAGAAAATTATTTTTTTTTCATAAAATGCAATTTGTACAAAAAAGTAATAACTAATGTAAATAACCAATGCTACCAGCATATTATCAGCTTTTCTTAAATAATTAAATAAATAATTAAATAATTATCAAATTCTTCACCGTTATTTTATTATTTTCTCTATTTCGAAAATACATACATTATTTCATATTTTTCCAGTTCATAAATTATCTCTTTGAGTACTAATTCATACGCCTTTGTAACTAAAAATTCCCTCTTATGATGACATTCTTTTTACTACTGAAAGCCGACTTCTTGACCTTGCTGTGCATAGGTAACATAAATATATTCCCATTAAATAATTATAGCAGTGTTAAATTCGATGAAAGTCTAACAATATTCAAACAATATCTGAGATTAAATAAAATTAGAAAATAAAATTAATTATGTCAATTCGATCAATGAACTCGAGAAATGGCTTGTTGGATAATGGTTCATATTATCATATTAAGAGTAATAAGAAGAAAAGGTTTGGCTGCAGCCTTCGTTAGGAGTAAATCTGGTAGTAATCTATTATTTCTATCGATAGGTAACTCTTTGGCAAAAGTTTCTAATCGTATTATTAACCAAGCGGTCCTAAGCAGAAATGGTAAACGCTAATTTTTTTCAAGAATTGATGATTGAAATTCTAGAGAAAAAGTAATAAAAAGTTTCACTGCAATAGAAAATGAAATAATAATTTACAGACTTTTTCCAGGTAAAAAGAGAAGAAAAATCGGAAAAAATAGAAGAATGGATAAAATTAAATTTGTCTTTTTTTGGTTCATTTCACCAATAATAATAATTTCCAAAACAAATTAAGTTAATTTCATTTAATTGAATAAACGCCCATCTATTATCGTATTCATTTAAGTTGATTGGTGCAAATCAATTAAATAATGTTACGCCTATCAATAATTAGCGAAATGAAAAAAAATGATCTGTAAAATTTTAAGAAAAAAAAAGAAATTATTGCTTAAGCTATTTATTTCACTGTACTTATAAAGAAATTATAAGTAATTTAGTATAATTATATTTGTAAATTTAAATATTCCAGCAGGAGAACACCCTGCAGGAATGATTAAAAAATCCGAGTGTTACCGGCGATCTACTTGCATCGCTAAGTGATTCTATGGAAAAAAATTTCGAAACATGTTTACAACCAGCAGCATAATCGGGCTTCAAGCGTCTAGCAGAATTTTTAAATCCAAGTTCACCTCTATCAATATTGATCATTTTGGAACCAGTATGCCCAATGGATAAGCGACAAAGACGCGGCTAGCTACTTTGTTTTATTCTTATTTAATTATTATTCTTGATCTGTTTTTCCGTAAAATAATAAATAATAAACATCTAATAGCTCTGACCATTCTTGCTTTGACTATCTCCATTGACAACGAGGGTAAGAGAATGAAAATTGATTAATATTATCATTAAAACGATAAGCGCAATGGTGCTCCACTAATTATTTCAATACTGAAAAATGATTGACAGTATTTTTAATAAATTTTTCGAATTTTGATTGATTTTTTATAATAAAATTATTAGCAAAAGAGACAATATAAAATATTATTTATCGATGCTAATGTAAAATGTAAAAAAATAAAACAAAAATATTATTTTTTTTACACTTTTATTATGTTTTTTGATATGTTTTTATCTAAAACTGATAAATGCCTCTGCTTATTATAAATGAAAATTAAAATGAAGATTTATAATAAATAATTCATAAAAGAATTACCGCAAATAAATTGAAAGTAAAACGATATCGTTGATTTATCTTTTATTTATTAAGAGAAATTACTGGTAATTACTTAATGATTGCAGATTTATCTTCAGTCATTTTATATTTGAAGATATAAATAAATAAATAAAATCATATTCAGTGCGTAGAATATTGCAGAACTTCTTAGATATACTAGTTTAATTAATAAATATGGTTAAAAAATTTTTTATTGAAAATTGCATGTGAAATATAGTAAAAAAAATATTTAAAATTTTATTCATATTTTATATTCATATTTATTCATACTTTTCATACTTTTAAAGATTCGAATAATACGAAGGATTACAAAAATGTGAATGGAAGTAAATGAAAAATAATAAGAAGAACTGGATTTTAAGTGTAAAAAATTATGATTTTTAAAGTTCTTTAAATTTTTAACGAAAAAAATAAGCTCAGCTTTCCAAATATCGTTATTGGGTGATGCTTTGTGGACGTAAGGGGACTAATTACTGCTTAGATCACCATTTCGACCATCATCGATCGTCCACAAGCAGTGCTGGAGTATATTAAAAATTGTAACAAAATCAGATTGTGTTGAAAATTCGCCCGTACTTATGTCTCTAAATGACTCTCAGGATACTGCTTATGACTAATGAAGCGAGCTTGAAAGAAATTATGATACTGGCTGTATAAGACAACTTATTTATAGCAAAATACATTAGCAACTTGGTATCGTAGATTTAGTAAAGAGTTTAATATTCGATAATATGAGAAAAGGATGATTGATTGGCTAATGATTCTTACTGTGCTGAGAAGCAAGGATTGACCCTTTGTCTCTGACAGGAACAAACGTATTCCATGACAAAAATTTTTAACATATGATGGCCAGTGGAGCTAGCATAACTAGAAAAGATGGGCTTCTCTCAATTAATCACTTCTCTCAATTATTCAGTGATACATACACATAGCAAAATTTTGCCAATTTGAATATTAAACTTGCAGGCACATTTCCTAAATATTAATTTCACATGGTTTGTTTCCCTAGAATCACTAAAAATTTTTTCAAAGTTTTAGATTACAATACAGTTTGCAATAAAATGAGAAGTTAACTTTGTCTTAGTTAATAAATTATTAAAAAGATTAGACTGTTTCAAATATTTTCAAGGGAAAATTTAATAGAGAAACTTAGTAGGTGAATGACTGAGTGACATAAGAATCAATTAATTCAAAAGTGTAGACTTATCTTGCTAGATTAATTTAATAGGCTATTTAGACTAAATCGAATCAGCTGAAGTGATTTGATCTAAATTAAACTTCAAAATTCATCAGATTATTCCTTATCATTTTTAATAAAATTATTCTTGTTTTTAGCTTTATGTGGATGAAAAAAAGAAAAGAAGGATATACCTGAAGATTAGCTTGTTAATAAGTATATTTTAGTTAAACTAGCTAAACTGGATATTATGATGCGATCAAAGAATTATTCAGAAACAGAAGTAATCAGAACCATTCGTATTTTTTGATTTCCATCTTTGAAAAGTAAAGGCCATGGTTCAAATAATAATCGAAATAGCCCAGCCAATGCTTCTTTACTTGCAAATAAAAGTAATTTAATTTTAAATTTTAATAAAACTTAATCAGTTAAATCCTTTGCAACATAAATTTTTTGATAAAATAATTGAACTTTGTTTGATTTTCAAGCTTTATAAATGCTAAATAAATGCGTAGAAAAGATAATGAATGGTATTTGATGAATTACTGATATTATCAAAGTATCAAAGTTATATTTGTACATACAACAACGAAAAAAAGCATCAAAAAAACAATAATAACGAGTTTCATTCTTAAATATTTTTTAATAGCAAAAAAGTTTTAAAATAAATTTTTTCTTTGTTGGAAATGACGCTAAAAAATAATTAAAATTTTTTGTATGCCAACTTTATCAGCATTTTTTAAAAATATTTTAGTTCAAATTGATGAATACGAAATTTAAACTCACAGCATTTAAAAATTAAAAATAAAAATTAAATCTTTCGCCAAATTAATCAAAAATTTATGCATTTTAAACAAATTTAGTTTCAATTTCAAATTAAACTGAATTTTAAAAACTTAAAAATTTAGACAAAAAAAATCAAATGAGATCGTTGAATGGTATTTTTCATTGACGGAGGCCAAGCCAATAAGTTCTCGATTTTAGCCTTTTAATGAGAATAATCTTCTAATCTGGATGTTGCCTCTGTACCCACTTGCAAATCTTTAGAAGAATCTTTAGAAGATTCTTTAACACAAGTGTTCAATTTAGACTCGGCCAACAACAGAAAAATGGAATTAGCCAAACCAGAAATGGGAAAATATTGCCGTTAAAAGAAGAAATAGTTATTGCAGTGTAGATTCATTTTATATGAATTCAAAGACTAATAACAATTATACAACACAAGTTATATGGGGCAAGATAACCGACTGTATAGTAATGTTATATCATGTTGAGTTGAAAGGTAAGAATTTGGCTCGTGATCTCGACAAAAGTAAATTTATCATTAAAAATGGTGCTGACACCCCACTGGATTTTTATTTCTAATGATTTCCTAGCAGATATTTCCAACAGCCAGCTGTTGTGCTAGTCTAACAGAAAATGGTGAAAGTTAACCACATACAATATATAAGTTCTAAATCAAATTAAAGAATCTAAAGTAATGGAGAATTGTTCGTAGAATTTTGTGTGAATAAAAATGATTGTTTATCAGAATAATCGTTTCCAAAAATATTAAGATATATAATTAGCATCCAATAAATAAAATTTCCTGCCATTCTTTATATAAGCGGTAAGAATAATTAAAATAGCCGAAGATTGATATCTTTTAGTTTTCATCTCTATTAATTGAACTCGCTTCTCTTTATTGATAACCAAACACTTGTCTCTACATCACTTTATTATTATTATTATTGTTTTATTATAATTATTAATTAATTATTATTATTCACGAAACTTATATGCATCGCTACAATGCGAAATACAATTGCGTAAATTTTCAAATGTTAACAAAAATTAGCTGGTCTTTTGTTTAATTTTAACTTATTTTAACTTTTTAATTTTAAAATTCTAAATTTAATTTTTAATTTTGACACGTTGTTTAATTTTTAAGTGTTTTTAATTTTTAATTTTTAAGTGTTTTTTGCAGTTGCATTTGAAATAATTGCACGAATTGAATGCATCATGCAATATTGTCTGATAAAACTAAGACGAAAAAACATTTCAGAGACGTCAAAGACGAAAAAAACAAAAATAAGCATTAGTTTTAAAAATGTCTGATAGAAGTTGGAAAAAATTTGGAAATATGACTGCAAATAAATTAATACAAATTAAACGCCTATTACGATAATCATCGACGAAAATAATCGAAAATGATTCTCCTTTTTCTTTAAATGAAAAATCTAGGGCAAAATAAACTTAAAATTAAAAGCGGAAGCCAACTCAATCCTAATTTTCTGCTCGACACAATTTTAGTTTTCCTCGCCTATGCGGTTTTTTGCTTAACTGCCATAATAAATTCAAGAAATTTATTATTCGATGCCCTAAATTATTATAAAATTTGTGCTTTCTTGTACTTCACAATAAAAATAATAAAACAAAAATTATTTATTCATAAAACATAAACATTTTAAATATCTCTTTTCATTAATATTTCCCCTTCAATTTTTTTATTTTTTGATTTTTTTTCTTGTTTTTTACAAATTTTTCTTTCCTCGGCTTCTCTAATTTGCCTGTTAAAACAGCTTTAACATCATTTTTTTTTCTTAATCTGACGTTTTCAGAGTTAATTGTACTACTTCCGATAGAAGAATTTTTTTCATTTTTATTTTCTGCTTTTTCATCACCTTCTATCGCTTTATCGCCATTCATCTGCGTTATCTCGTTCGATGTAGAGTCATTTTTTACTTTTTTAAGTTCATTTTCGCCTTCCTATAAGATTTCACATGTTTGGCTTGTTGGCTTAAATACTTAATTCAGTGGAAAATAGACTCCAGACGAAAGAAAATATATCAATATAAATATATCAATATAATCTAAAATATATATAAATATATCAATATGGTTTAAAAAAGATAAAAACTAATAATAACCAACAAAACTATGAAGATAAATAATGTATAAGAAATAATGCGCAGTGATAAAAAATACCTCAAATGTTTTTCTTGTGATATTGAATGAATATTCCAAACCCATTTCTCTCAGTTCTTTTTCTTTCTTCCCCATTTTTTTGAGAAAATTTTTCTGCAATATTTAAAGGACAAAAATCAACATGGATAATTTTGAATAAAAAAGATAAAGAAAAAAAAATGGAAAATGGAAACCTTCCACCGACTTTCTTTTTCAAATGAACGCAACTGATTGGCCAATTTGGAATGTTTTTCAGCTTTTAACTTATAGACTGGTGGTTTACATACACGTGGACCAGACTGAAGACATTTCGGTATTTCACTATTTTTTAATACCTTACCTCAAAAATAAAATTTCTCAGCAATATTGGTGAAAATATCGAGTTTTCAAATAATTATATTGAATTTTAGAACAAAAAAATGAAAAAATTGCACAATAATTATTCAATAATTATTATGCAATTCAATTCTTCAGTATTCAATATTATTCAATAATTATTAATTATTCGAAGAATTATTTATTTTGCTGGAAGATTTTGCAGAAAAACTGGGGAAACTAGGTTGAAAATTGCAATTTTTTAAAAATATTTATGAAAAAAAGGAAATAAAGGAAATAAAATGACCAAAAATAAATTAAAAACAAACAACGCAGCCTTTTATTGAACATTAAATATCCATTCATAGTTTCAGCAGCAATTTTAGCAACATCTCGATCTTTGAACAGTACAAAAGCCCAACCTTTATGGTTACCGGTCTTAAAATTATTTTTTATCAACCATCAATGACAATAATATCACATATCACTTTGATTTACTTGTTATAAGACATAATAAAGTATAATACCATCTTATTGCTATTAAATTTGATTAATTTAAATATTTATCGATGTTCCATATATTCGCATTAAAAAATGAAAAAGTATTAGTATTAATTTAATTTATTAATTTATTTTAATTTTCTAATGAATATTAAATTTCTCATGGATATTTGGGGATACAATGACTTATTGCTAAATTAGAGTGGGTTATTGCTCAATTCTAGAGAGCCGATACTAAGGTTCTCTTCTCCGCAGGAGTAAACCTGTTCAAAAATCCGGGTGATACTGGCGACTCACCTGTACTTCTATCGTCAAGGGATTCCCTGGCATATTTGTCTAGTGTGACAAGCCAGCAGAGTTTAACCAGTAATGGTGAGGACTCTTTAAAAAAAAATGATTTTCGAGCCAAGAATTTCATAAAACTGACAAGTCGTAAGAAGCAAAGTATCCCAAGATCTATCAACTATCTCAAATTAAAAATTAAAATTCCGGAAAAAATAAGCGCATTTTAAACCGGACCGTATTACTGAAAGATCTCAGTGAAATGAATGTCAATGATATCTCTGGAACAGCGGATGAATATAACTTTAAGTTTACAAAAGTTTATAAAAGTCAGCCACTTCCACGCTAGAAGATACTAGAAGAAAGCATTAGTTGGGAAAAAAATGGATATTGGAATAAGATAATGCAACCAAACAAAACAGATCATTTAAAAAATGGCTCATTTAACAAAATAAGTAATAAAATCTACTTTTATTGTTAAAACATTTGTTGCACAATTATGAATAATTTATTTACTATTCATTACAAAATAACAATAATTAACATTATTATCCATAAAAATTTGAAAAATTAAAATTTCCTTGAACAATATTACTTACTTCAATATAAAAGAAATCTTTATTAAAGAAATTTCTAGTAAATATATGTAAATTTCTAAACTATTTCTCTCGAGTTACTTTGAAATTTTAAAGTTCGAAAATTTTAATTAGAAAACAAAAATTATAATTTTAACCTTACGCTATAAAATCAAAACAATAATAGATAAGAACGTCGTTTGAATCAAAGAGATTAATTAAATTTTTAATTTATTTTATCAGTAATCGGCATCTCTATCTAAACTATTATACTTAGAATTATCATATCGTTTCTAGGATCATTATTAGCGTAACTATTATTATTACTATTATTATTATTATTACTTTATAAATGAAAACGTAAAAATGAAGCAAACCTTAGCATTTCTTGCGACTCTAACACGTTTAACACCACCAAATTGATGAAAATATTTAATTAATTGAATTTCGAAGAAACCATACGGCAATGCATTAATTTTGATTGCACTTGATAATGAATCGTTCGACTCGTTATTACCATTTTGTTTTGTCAAATCTTTTTTCTCAATTTTTTTTTGCATTATATTTTCTGAAGAAAAAGAAAAAATTAACTAAAGCACTGCATTTAAAAAGAAGGAAAAAAAAGATTGCGAATAATGAAAAAACAATGAATTTCTGAAAGTTCGATAAGGATAATTAGCTTAGAAAAAAATTTTTAAATTTTTTTCGATAAAATCTTTTAGGAGGAAATTAACAAAAATATTGCAACAGATGTGACACAATCTTCAAGATTTAAAAAAAAAATAAGCGAAAAAAAGTGAAACAATTCTTCGAAAACGAAAAACTAAATTCTCAATAAAAAACAAATTAGAAAAAAGAAAAATAATGCAGAGAAAGATAAACTTATTTCAATGTTACTCGCTGATAATTTATATTAAAAAGATAAGGATCGCACAAAAAATCTCTTTCCGAATTCTTAAATGTCGCAAATCGCGAAGCATCTCGCAAAAAAAGATTTCCCTTCGAACTTTCAAATAACTTATAGCTGCGCAAAAAAAAAGTCAAAATCTCCTTTACTACTGAAAATATAGATAAATGATTTTCGCATAAACCATGAAACACAAAAGAATTACGATGAAAAGAAATAAAAATTGATAAAAACATTAGATAACATTCTCTAATCCAATATGAACTATGAGAAATTTCCTCAAAATAATAAATTATAGATTAATATCAATGATTTCATTACAAGATTATATAAATTATATTAATTTGTATAGAAATAGCTAATAGAAATTTCGAAAAAAAATACTCGAAAACGCTAAAATTTTGTTATTTATTGGCCATTGTCCATTGAAACTGGCCGTGACACCTCATCATCCAACAATTTAGCCTAAAATCCAAGATTTTCAAAAAAAATACGAATATAATAATATAATATAAAATGCAAGCCGAAGTCCCATTATCTAGCCAAATAACTGGATGATTTTCATAAATTTTCAGATCATCACCACCGAATGCTTCGGGCTCCTTGCAATAAAAAACACTGGTGATATTGACGACCCACTTACTCTTTTATTATCAAGTAAAACTCATTGGTATTTTTCATTTTTTAATTTTTAATTTATCATTGATCAAACAATATGGTTATCGTAATCAGAAATGCAAAACGCTAACTTAACCGTCCATTTCTCGGTTAACTTCTCATTTATTGCCATAAAAATATTTTAGAAATATTGCCATAAAATGTAGAGAATAACAAAAAAAATTATTCCAACTTGCAAGAAAATATTTTATTTTAAAAAACAATCATTAAAATTAATAAAAAATGAAAATATATATATATATATAGCACTCTCACAACAAATTCACCAATTTTAGGTTAATTTTAAGTCCATTCAAGAAACAAAGTGAAAAATGCTTCATATTTTCCATAAAAATTTCAGGTTTTTCCTTAATTTTTCATCGGAAATTATCTGAAAAAAAATAAACAAAAAAGAGAAGAAAAAGGCATTAAGAAGAATGCATAGAAATAACATCACAGTCCATACAAATAACCCTCAAAAAAAAATCCCGTAATATCAATTGATTAAAAAAACGATGTGAATATTTTTATCTTTACAATTCATTGCCAAATAAGTTTTCATAAAAATGCATATTTTTTATAATATATCATATTGAAAACATTAAGAATATTTAATACAAAAATCACTTCCTTTATTCAGAAAAACTAACTATATAGCCAAATAAATAAAAAAATTTAACTTGTATTATAAATTTCACCAAAATCTTCCCAAAAATTTGATAACTGAAATTTAAAGATTTTCTATAATTTACAAAGTTACAAAGTGTAATAAAATAACACGCTTTGCTCAGTGCTTTGATAACAAGTTTTAAGTTTTAAACAATAAATTTTGAAAAATTAATTTAAAACTTTTGAAAATTTAAAAGTTTAAAGTGACATTATAGTCAAATTATTGCATTGAATTGATTAAATCTTAATTAATTATTATTAGGAATTAACAAAATAAAACAAAAAAAAAAAATTAGGCAAATTTCTTCGTGAAATTATGATTTTTGCCGTCGAAACAAATGGTGGAATTTATGTTTTTTTGAGACGTTTGATTGACTTAATAATGAACTATCATCGTCATCTTCGTTCGAATTAAGAGAACCTACTGAATCGTTACTTCGTACTTTTTCTTTTTTATCTTGGTCTTGCTCACTGAAATTTTATCTTTTTTTAGCTGCTATCATCTTCTCACATCAATAATTTTTTTTTTTAATAACCCTTACCATTACTGGTTAGATTCGCTGGCTTATCGTACTAGATAAATATGCCAGGGACTCCTTTAGCGATAGAAGTACAGGCGAGTGGCGAGTGTCATCCAGACGGATTTAGTCCTGCTGGGAGTAGAACCTCAGCATCGGCGGTCCGAACTGAGCAACTATGCCCCACATCAATAATTATTAAAAAAAGTAAGACAAGAAATGAAAACGGAAAAATCCAAATGAAATCGATAAAGCACTTGTAATCTGATAATTACTGATTATTATTGATTATATCTGATAATTACTGTCACTGATAATTATTAATTATCAGATAACAGTAAATAATTTAAACTGATTAATGATGCGCAAATGCAAGAAAAGATACCATTATGGAGATTGACAAAAAAAAACATACTTTTCATTTCGTAATCCCTCCGAACTTGGATTTTTATAGGAAAGATTATTATGGTCAAGCTGTGAATGACTTGGTGCCGATCGGTGTAAATAAAAATTAGTGCCACGTGAACTAACTGCACTCGTCCTATAACTAGATGAAGCCAAAATGGCATTGGCTGCTGAATTTGTAGAAGTGCCACTTGAAGACGTTCCTAAAAAATAAAAATAAAAGTAGATAAAAATCACATAAAAACGAAAAAAACAATAACCATAATTCAATTACAAAAAGTTAAAAAAAGCTGAAAGAATAAAAATTAAGATTTATATAAATAAGACTTAAATAATTAGATTTATTAAATAAGATTTAAAACCTGGATTAAGATGAGTTATTGAACTGCTTGATGGCATACGCGGAAGAAAACGTCCAGTAGAATATGAAGAATATAAATGTACTGGATGCATTTGTTCTGCAGTTATTACTGATATTATAAATGTCACCTATGAACAAAATCCAAAAACATTTTTAAGAACTGAAACAAGCTAATCATAAAAAAATTCAGTCACTAATAAATAAAGTGAATTCACAAAAAATTTTTAATCTATACATAGCCAAATGCAATAAAATTCAGTTAATTCTACCAAATATAGGTATTACATAATATAACGTAACATGCATTAATAAATGACAAATGACAATAATCTTCGTGTGAATTACCGTAAAACCAATTCATTTAACTATAAAAATTAGCATAACAACATATTTTATTGAAAAAAAAATTTATTATTATAAATGAAAATCCCTTGAATTCCCAAAATTTATCAATGCAAACAATAAAAAATGCTATGCTTCATAAGCTTCATAATTTTTTGAAAGTTTTCATCAAGGATTTTGGCACGAAAATTATAAGAAATAAAATTAATAAAAAATTGAAAAAATACCTAACCATTTGATAAAGGATCATTGGAAACTGCATTAATAAATAGCGGAAAACCACAGAGCGATTCAATTTCAATCCATCGCTGATAAGATTCGCTCATTGCTAACGATATTTTTTCCATACGTCCTCTACAAATATTTTTTAAATAAATAATTAAATCCCAAAAATTTTTTAACTTTTCTTTATTTGCAATTTATCTGTACAAAAAGCAAACTTCAAAGAAAATATTTTTGAATCAATTTGATCAGTTCCTGTAGATGCACCAGTAGCTAATTTTATTGAGGATACTAAACTTGATTGTTTTTTACGAAGTTTATCAATATGTTCAATTGCTTCACGCATTTCAGCTAAACAATCCATACGCAGCTGGCCGATATAATTTAATTCAAATTCGCATGTCCTAAAAAATTGATTTTTTTATGGTTAATTGATTTTTATACTACACTTATAATAATGATAATAATAATAATACTGATAGCAACAATAATTTTAACCTTTTTAATATAAAATTATAAAGGAAAATTTTAAAAAATCTTTCTTAATCCGAAGAGAAATTATAAAATTCACAAATAAAGAATAACAAAAATGTTTAAGAAAATTTTAAATGGAAATTATAAAACAGAACCTTAACAATATTTATAGAGGGAAAAAAACAAAAAATAATTAAAATTAGAAAAAAAATTAGTGCAACAAACAAACTTTCTTAATAAAGGTTGCAATGCTAACGGTGCTGAATTATTGCTCTCTAAAAGGCGCTCTGCTTCCAAGAGTTGTGATTTCAACTGAAATTATCAAAAAGTTTAAAAATGCTAAAATTTTGAAAAATTTCAGAACAATAGGAAAGAATAATTCTTAAAATTTACTGATTCCATTTGTTCAACAGCACTAGGTTCACTCTTTTTTCGCCTTTTTAATGCCTCTTCATCTAATCTAAAAATTTTTGTATACTTTTTTTTATTGAAAATTTTTAGAGCAAATCAAAGCAGAAACTTTCCTCATAAAGCGACAATTATTAGCGCAGGATAATAAATTAAAGAAAATTGAAGATTCTGAAATAGATTATTTCCTATTTTTTTGAAATGAAAATAAATAGTTAATCACAGTCAAGTTTGAAAAAACCTTTGCTGTGTATCTTCGAAATCGCTTTTCATTATCTTTAACTGTGATAACTTTGAGGTTAATTGATCAACCTCATATTTCGATCGGGCGCGGTGCTTATTAAATATTACCAGTACAATAGCAAGTACCACTAGTAATATTGACAATGCAATATCCTTCAGCTGCGATGACTTTTCAGCTGAAAAAAATTAAAAAATGATTAAATGAATGAGAGAAAATATATCACAGAATCATTTGATCATAATCACGCCACAAAACAATATTTTTTTTCGTCTTTAAAGAGATTGATGGAAAGCCTATCAGTTTGCATATAATTTTAAAATTATATAATTATAATTTTAAAAATGACTGCAAAATGGTCTAAAAATAGAAAAATTTAAACAAAATTAACTTACTGTACATGTTAAAAATCAAGCAGTAAAATAAAATAATAATCCGAGAATAATCCAGAATTAATAAATATAAAAACTATATTAACTACATTTCACTCAGATAATGCAAAATAATAATAAAATGATAATAATTGAAATAAAAAACCGGATATGGCTAAATAAAAACCGACAAATTTCTCCTTAATCTTCAGCTAATTAGAAAACGGAAAATCAAAGATTAGATTAATTGAAAATTAAAAAGATGGAAAAACATACGAATAAAACCAAATAAGACGACATCAAGTGCTTTAAGTCGAATTTTCCGTTTATGGGCAGAATTTTTGACTTTTAGATCATAGGATAAATATGTTGAATTCATCAAGGCCATTCTGTAAAAGTTATTTCTTCCTCATTTTACTTATATTATATTTTACTTATATCTTAATTGCTCTTTATTGAAAATTGGTACTTTACATTGGTGCATATTAACTCATAACTTAAAAAAGTTCCTTTCTGTTGCCTTTTCATTAGAAATCGTTTTATTATTAAAAGAATAATAAACTGAAACTTACAAGTTTTTCAACATTCATCAATCAAATAACTTGAAAAACTTCCTTTATAATCTTAAAAAATTTAAAACCTTGGTAAAGCGCGTCCATTAACACTAAGCGAATTAAGAATAGCAGAATACTGTGGTAATCTAACAGTGTGTTCCATCCAATTTACCATCTGTTGTGTTGTCCACGAACGTTCCTCAGATTCAACCCAAGATTTCCACAAATCATCCACTGTTATTAATTCGTCATTATTATGGTGAAAAGCTTTCTCACGAGTCACTCGATCATCACCACCGATATGCATATCTTCTTTTAAAAACTAAAAAATCTTATTGATAACTCAACCTTTTCAGTTGACAAAATCGAGTTTAATGAATCAATTGTCTCTATTAGCACAATATACATTACTATGACTTTTCATTTCACTTTGCTGCTGAAGATCAGACGAAGATCAAAAGCGCCATTCCCATCTTAAAAAATCTTTAAATTATAAATTTGGTAATTAAATAAATGCTTCGCAATAAAACCAGCTTACTCTCCAAAGTTCAGCCAAGGAAATGAAATGAAAAGACAAAAGAAATTCGCGAACAGATTGGACTGAAACAGAAAAGAAAATTTAATGTCAACAAAATATTTATCGTAAAAACAAAAGAAAAAGAAAAACAAACACCGGTGGATTCAATTCGATCAATCGAACCAGATTTATCATCATCCATTTCATAATGTAACTGAACAATTGCACTGTATCCATCATAATCACGTAATTTTTCTTCATCTGCTGTTATTATTACGTCTAAAAATTAAATTGAAAATTTCATTTTGCAAAACTTTATCAAATAACCATATGCGCTACTTATTTACTCTTATTATAATAAAATTATAAAAATTATTATAATAAATGTTCTTATTATATCATAAATCATTTAGCTTCAGTGTAGTCAAAAAATAATTTTAAGAATAAACTTCCACCAAATTATGGAAAAAAATTAGATTAAAATTATGGAAAAATCGAAAAATATAAATAAAAAATTTGGCAGTTTACTTAATAATAAAGTAAATCTCCTATTCATTCTATTAATGAATATTATCATAAATGTAATATTTGTAATGTGACAAAATTGGTTAAATGAGGTCGTGGATGAAAGAAATATCTCGGAATGAACTGTTGAAAGTCATTTACAAAAATTAGGAAAAAGTAAAGTCGCTAAAAAATTTTTCACATGAAAATCACTCATTTAAAAATATCTAAAATATTTCATAATATTTTTATCACATATAATACTTTACATTATTGCTTTTACTTATACTTTTAAATACTTTTTACTTTTTAAAATAATTTTTTATCGAATGAACATAAATGCTCTAAATCAAAGTTACCCTTAACATTTGCTTTTTCGGTGCTTGAGCAATGAATAATAATTAACAAAAAAGTATATCCATTATACATCGCTAACAACCTGAAAAATATGACTTCATATCAATCAAATAAAGAAAACATGAGAATTTTTCTGAAACAAATTAAGTTATAAAAGAAAATTTAAAAATTCTTAAGTAAATTAGAGTTTTTGAATGAAAAATCTTTTACAAATACTTCAATAATTTAAAATCCATTCATTCGATGAACAATTCGAAAATTATCAACGAAATTACAGGAAAATCTGATGAAATTATAAACAACAAGAAAATAATTTCAAATATACAAAAAATTCTTATAAAAAGCGATGATAATAAAATTATCAAATAAATAACTACCAAAATCACTAATGGCTGAAAAACAAAGAAATAATTTAAGAAAAACAAACTAAAATAAAATTAATAGCGATAAAAAAATTCATGAAAAGTTTATTAGCAAAATATAAATAAAATAGATTTGTTATCAACAAAAGAGATTTATTTCTTTTAAGCTGAATGATGTTAAAATTCGCAAATAATCTTTTAAAAAAATTCTAAAAAAGAAGTTCATAAAATCAGTCAAAAAATCACATTAAAGCACTAAAGTGATTTAAAAAATGAAAAGATGCTAAATAAAATTATTTGAAAATGAGAAGTGCTAAAAAACAAATAGATAAATAAAAAATGATAAATGATTATAGAATATCAATATAGAATGATTTAAAAAAAATTAAATCTAATAAATAAAGAAAGGAAAATTATTGAACGAAATGTTAATCGATAGATAAGAGAGAAAATAAATGCAATGAACAAGCACCATATTTTTTAATTTTCTTGAATTTTCATATATATCACAATACTATTAAAAAATTATCCTCGAAAAACAAAAAAATTTAGAAAAGATTATTTTGGTTGAGTTTGGCCAAAATAATGAAATAGAGAGGATAAAAATTTGGTGGACGAAAATTTGATTGATGATAGTGGGTTTCGACAATAAAACAGATAATTGCATTGGCAAGAACACTATGTATACACCACAAATATGTCATACAATATAAATATCCAACATTTTTCGAAAAACGGAAAGTTCTTTTCAAAATTTTTTCAAAATTTATATCTATATGTAAATTTATATGTAATTTAATATAAGAAAAAATTTCAAAATAAAAATTTCAAATTTATATTTAAAAAAATTTCACATGGTGCTGTCGATGAAAAACCGGTCGATATTTCATTTGCCATATTTTACAGATTTAATCAGACCAATACTTTGTTTCTCGTGCTAAATGACATTTTACTTCACATTTACATTACATTTAAAACTCACTAAAACTCTCTTGAAAACTCACTTTTCAAGAGGATATTAATAAAATAGATTCAAGCTAAAATTAAATAGAGTATAAATTATACAATTTCAGGAAGATTCATTTTTTTTTAGTTGTCCATAGACCGATTTATCTAATATTATAGTAATATTCAAAAAAAACTGAAAATCACTATTGCTCGATATTTACTCCTAATTTCACATAATTTTTTAGAAAAAGCACAATTTTCACTGAACTCCTAAAAATTCTAAAAATTTCACTACATAAAAACTATACATTTTCCCAAATATCCCAAAATAATAAAATGAAAAAAAAGATCAATATTCTATATAAGGAAATACAAGTAAATCAAAAAAAGTAATACAACAAATATTCAAAAACACAGATGCGAAAATTCGAGTTTCTTCAAAAATAACGATTCGACTGGAAATTTGAAATTTTCACAAAAGAATATCGAATGTAATATAACAAAGAATTGAAAATAAAGAATCGTTAAAAACTAAATAATGAATCGATCGGATGAATTTACGACAAATTTTGTTTCAATGGATTAAAATCCACAATGAATTTTTGTAGCAGTAAATATGTTTCCTGAATTTTTTAATAGTTGATGAAAACTACTTACTAAATTTATAGGAAAGCTTAAAGGGAAAAATATGGGAAAACATAAAGGGAAAAGCTTAAGAGAAAAAAATTTAATAATTTAAATTTAACATGTATATAATTCAAATAAATTAAGTCAAACGCAAAAAATAAAAAAGGCTAATAGGTGGAAATTTCCAAACCTAAGCTGACGATTGTTCATTATTTGCCGATTATTTATCTATTTATCATCTTCATTTAGGTGTCGATTCAATTCGCTCCTCTAAAATTTGAACTGAAATTTACACATTAAAATTAATTTTCCAATTTCTAACTTTATAAAAAAAAGCGATCAATTTCATGAATGCCAAATATCTATTGAAAAATAATGCGTAAATTATATAAAAAAAATTATTTGACTTTAAATAATTTATAATGATGAAAATAAAATGAAAATAAAGCAACGAAAATTTTCTCAATTTCATTTTTAAGATTTCAAGAAGACGCTTTCAAGATTTTATCCTAAAAGAAGGGAAATTATTGAGAAAATGAAAGAAGAAAAAAATTTATTTGGAAAAAACGTATATTCAACGAATATAATAAAAAATATATAACTACAAAATAATAAATAATAAAACTATAAAATAACTATAAATAAAAATAAATAAATCGAGCAGGAAATAATAATAATAAGAAAATTAAAGAAAAAAGCAAAAAATGTTCTCAAAATTTCTCAAAATATTTATAATGCGAATAAATAAATCGCAAAAATGGAAAAAAAAATTACCCATTTAATGAAGGATAAACGATTTAGTGAAGCATCGATGAAAAATTTATAAAAAAAGAAAAAAGGAAATTTTAGCGAATAGAAATCTTAAAACAAAAAATTAAGCAAATATTAAAGTTGTAATAGCGAAAGGTTTATAAAATTTGGAATAAAACTGCATTAACTCCCTAAAAAACTTTTCAAAACTTTTTGTGGGTAATCATCCTCAACCTCATGTACCCTACCAGAAGCCTAGGAGATTAAGGGTTCTATGCAGTATCTATGCTGTTCCTAATAGTGTACTTTTCAGGATAGAGATTTGTGATATGGTTCCTAGAATTTGCTGAAGACATTTTTCTAGTTTCTTTTCTAACTGGTGATTGAAAAAGCAATGCCAAGCGACAATGAATGTTAGAAAGAAAAAATATGAGAAATGCAAGAGGCTGAAAGAAGAACTAAGGAAGATGTGGAAAGCAAAGGCCAAACTAATCCCAGTGATAATGGAGCACTTGGAACTGTGACTTACAAACTAGAAAAGTGGCTTCAGTGAATTCCAGAAATAAAATCTCTATCCAGAAGAGCGCACTATTAGGAATAACTAATATATTGCGCAGAATCTCCCCAACTTCCCAGACCTCTGACATAGGACCCGAGGTTAAGGATGACCATGACCACACACAGGGAAATGAGAAAAAAAGTTAATAACATAAGCACTGGAACAGCGTAGTGATTATGGCCAAGCGATTAACATGGAATGTAACAAAGACGGTTCGAATCGCAGTCGATCTCCTCTATCTTTGAGGTTATAATCCTTGAATGAGATCCTCTGAAAACTTACCTGCATTACATCGATCTCCTTCTAACATATCTCCATATTTATATGATCGAATAAAATTTAAAAATTATGACAATATGGTGCACAATGGACAGCTCGGTATAACCCCGCTGTCTAGTCTTTTTTCCTCTCCTCTCTTTCATCATTTTCACTATATTAACACTTCCTCGAATCTACCTACCAATAAAAGATAAATTTTTCTCGCTCTATATTCTTCCTCCATAAGTCTTTTCATTATATATCGTGGATTTTGACTCGACAGGTTCAACCGTAAGTATTCAATAGCATTCAACAACTAATCACAAATACTTAAAGGAAAATTATTTTAATATTTTACCAATATTGTTTAAAAAAATATTCGCAAATGATGTGAAAATATGGACGAAATCGCATAAATTATCTGTGTCGACCTAAAACAATGATAAATAATGAATAAATCTATAAACAGTTCGTGCTAACCACTTTAAAAATTAAATTAAACCATCTGAAAATTTTTTCTTCGTCCAAAATAAAATTTTTCACAATTTTTTAATTTAAAATATCAAATTTAAATGTAAATTTTTAACATTTGAAAATACCAAATTAATCTAATGGAGTAGATTTAATAGTATAATTAATGGATTTTTAAAATAGATTCGCCTAGCAAATATTTCTAAAAATAAGAACAAGAAGATCATAAAAAGAAAAAAATATAGCGAAATCATGAAAAAATAAGCAACACAAAAATAACTTGAAAACAACCGTACAAGAAAACTCGTTGCGAGAACCACACTATTTAAAAAAATAATTTTTGATGCGAAAACTGGAAAAAATTAATCGATATGATGCGAATCTTCGAATGGTCGTTTTCCTTTTTTTTGCGCTTAAAAATCGTAATTACGATACTAAATTTGGAGAATTACATTTTTTATTTTAATATTCTATTGTATTTCAAGTTTCCCTTTTTATCTATTCAGGACGCCTATATCGTTTATTTAATTAATAGTAAATAAATGGAAATTTAATCGATTTTATTAAACTAATCAGTTTTAATTGAAATAACTTATTTGTTAAAAAGGAGAATTTGTGCTTAAACTCGGGCAAAAACTTTTTTGTCTAAGGAAAAAGAAAAATTTTTCCTCTTCAAAAATATTCGCTCATCTCTATTGATTTCCTTTTAAAAAAATTATTTAGAAAGAAATTCGTCGACGAAAGTTATTTTTTTACACATTTTTAAGGAATATGCAGGGATTCCGGGGAGGGATGACCTCACGTTGACCTCCGTGGCCTTTAATGTGCTTAGAGGAAATTGACCTAACCGAGAAGTACAGTTGCCTTTTTTATATCGTTTTATATCGTTTGCTTAATTATGTAATTTAAAATAATTAATTAAAAATACGCAATTTGTTTCCGTGATCCGAACCATTGTCCGAAAGTTGATGTCTAAAAAAGTAAAGAATAGAATAGTCTAAAAAAAGAGAAAGTCATAGAGTCAGACGAATAGTTATGGCTGGATAATGCGTTGTAAAAATACGAGAGAGCCGAGAAAAAAGGTATTCGGAAGCAGTGTGGATTCGCCCGTGGAAGGAAAAGAAAAAAGCGCGAAGAGAAAGAGAGAGAGAAGTGTGTCTCTGTTATTATTTGTGTCATAATTCTATGTGCATCTCCGAGTGGCGATCGATATTTTTGTTGTTTTTATTTCTAAAATAGTGGTACTAAAAATTTTGTACTAGAAGCGAAGGTACTCAGTGGTATGGTGATCCCTCCTACATGCCGTATATAAGGTTGAAAAGTATGTGGGTGGAGTTGAATGACAAGCAAAATGATTCATTTGTTGAAATTTATTTAATTTTTTGATTTTTTACAGAAATGAATGAAGCTAATGAAAAAAATGAACCAAGAATGGCGAGAATCCGGGAAAATATTCTTGGTAAACTGTACATTTTAAAAAAAAATCTCAATTTAAATTTTATTTTTTAGTCGAAAAAGAAGATTTATTCACTAATTAGTAAATTCATTGATTGAGGAACCTTTTTTTCAAAATTTTGGTTTTATGTAAAATTTTTGGGAAAACATCATAGTAAAAAGAAGAATATACACTTGGACACTTAAAAAATGAATAGTTTTTTATGTTTTTATGCAATAGTTTTTTTATTTTTCGTTTAATTTCGATATTTCGTGGCGATAAGTTTATAGGGCTTAGGCATTCAGATTCAGGCTTAACATTTGGATTTAGCTTCGGGATCACACTTAATTTTAGACTTGGTGTTTGCGCCTTTTAAATGTCTCATATATCAAGAAATGTTTTCGTAAACTTTGGTTTAGGCTATAAGTAATCGCTAAAGCTTTTTAATGAAAGATTTCCAATTCGTTGTATAATTTTTCTTAAGATTGATGGGTTGTGGGTTGGGTTTTTAATAATGGTCACTGCTTATCAGTGCTTCGATTTTTGATCAGATATCGCCATTTCAAATAGGATTTAATTTATAGCGAAAAAAAGTTGAGGAAAAATGGAGGTTTAATTTAGGTCGAACATAATGAATTAACGATTATTTTTATTTTTAACTTTGCAGTTCAAATGCTTTATTTTTTTTGCTCTTTAAAATTATTTTGAATTTATTTTTTTCTCGCACTTAAATAATTTAATATTAACAAATATATATAATTGGAGGTGCGTTAGGGCCATTTGATGTTATGGCAGATATTATTGTTGGTTCGCAACATGGTCCGGTTAATTCAGGGTTATTTGGTGTTTCACCACATTCATTATCTCTTGCACCGAGAAATATACGCTCTAATTTATCGGATTTAACTACTTCACAAGTCATTCAGGTTTGTAATTTTTATGTATTCTTTTTTTGGTCGCGTATAATTGATAAGTTGATCAAACTTTATCACTTACTTTTATTTTATTTTTACTTTTATTTGATAAGCTTTTTTTCAACAAAGGTTTTTCTTTCGTGCAGAGAAGAGTGAATTATTATGCCCATAATTTGTAATTAAGTAAAAATTCTCTCCATAATATGTAAGTCTTATCAAATTTATTTTGAGAAATTAGTGCAAAAATCTTTTATTTTTCTAGAATAAGCTTTAGAAATTTTTAAATTCTTGTTTTTTTAAATTACGAAATCTTAGTTTAATTTTATGGTTTTCGCAAAATGTTGATTTAGGCTCAGATGTTTTTACATATTTTATTGTCATCTTTTTGGAAAGGTCATGAAGATGGAAATGGTAATGATGAGAAATTTGGAAAGAAAAAATTTAAAATTAAGTTTTCTACAAGTTTTTAGAGGATGCAAAATCTTGTTGATACGCCGATCTCAAATATTGAAACAAATTTGCCTTTCAAAAAGGTATATTTAGACTTTTTTTTATATTCTTTTTCTTATATTCTTATTTGAGTAAAAGTGGTAGAATTGAAAAATTTCTCGTAGATTTATCTACTAAAAACCGCCTGAAAATAATATATTACAAGCTTCTTTTCACATTTTTTTTCACATTTGAATTTAAAGAATAGAGATAATTCAAAGAATAAAAAAAAGAATAAAGGATTAAGAAAAGGAAACGTGATAAGTCATCGCAGTTTCAAGGCTGAACGATTTTAAATTGGTAGCATGAGATACCGTATAATTGAAATAGGCTAGCCGGTTGAAATAAGATCCTACAGTTGTTAATTACTATTTTTCTGTTTTTAGCTTCGTGAAAATAAAGCTGAAGTTTCTTCAGCGAAGGCAGCTACAAATCATACCTCCGCATGCACAAGTATTAACTTAGTTAGCGATAATAAAATTGTGGAATATAGTGATATTCATAAAAGAAATAATTCCCTTATTAAAGATGAAAGCAATCAATGTCGAAAAAGAAAAAGGAAATGGTTCGCCTATTTTTTTCTTTATTATATTTTTGTATTAAAATTAAAATATTGATTTTTAATTATTGCCTCGACAATGCGCTGAATTCAATTGAAAACAACTTTTTTCATTCAAAAATTTGTTTTATAAATCGAATTTATCATTCAGATATTTAATTCTTTTGGCTAATTCTTTTTCATCAAATTCTAGGGATAAAAAAGAGATAGAAGGTGATTGGCAAAAGCCATGCAGTAGTGGGGTCGATAACAAGGTAATTTTTAAAGTTTTTTTCTTACTTTTCTTTAATTTTAGCGTTTCATTTTCTTTTCTTTAATTTCAATTTTCTTTAATTTTTTTAAAGAATTTTAAAATTTGTAGAATTTTTGAACCCATTTTGAATTTTTCACTTTTTCCAGGATTTTGTTGGATCATTTTTCAGAATTTTTATTTTCCTTTGTGATTTTATTTTCTCATTCCTGATTTCAGCACTGTTTTTAGGACTTAGAACCATTTTTCTTAGCTTTAAATTTTTGGTGATTTCTCTTTCGAAGTGAATAAATTGATTAAATTGCGCTTAATTCTCTTTGCATATGTTTTTTATTATTTTTGGAATATTTGAACCACTTTTTTAGCAAGAAATTTCTGAAGATATTTCTATAACAATCAATGATTTATTTGGTGAGGATAGGAAAAGAAAGCGCACTTCAAAAGAATCGAGTAGAAATTCAGAAGAAGCTACTAAAATGCAAAACAAAAATAAAGAATGGACAAAAGCTGATGGCGAAAGTCCAGATTCTGGTGTACAAGTTGATGAAACCACAGACAGTGATCGGGAACAGAATCAGATGTAAATTTTTCTAGAAAATTAGTATTGAAATTTTTTCTATTTCGAAAATCTTTTAAAATATATATTTTAAGTCTATTTAGATTTTCCAAAATTGAGGATAATTTGTTCAGATTTATCTAGTAGATAACTTGTAGATATCCAACAAAATCGTTTCTGTGGTAAATTTTGGAAAAATTCTAATTTTTGAAAAAAATATGAGTGACATTTTTCAGCTCAACGGCGAATCTTATAAAAGAAATAACACTTATTTCACCATTATTATCACCTCCAAGGCAGCCCTCAACGCATTTACCGCATTTAACTTATAAAGATGGTTTACCGTCGCTTACATGCATTCTAGATTTATCACCTCTAGAGCCAATGCAGCGTAGTCTTTATATGGAGAAAATAAGGCTGAATGTTTGTTATATTTATAAAAAGCCTTAGTTTTCATAAATTTTATTATTTTTCAAATTTATTTTCTTCCACTTTATTTTTTTATAATTTTATCTTTGACAAACCATCACTTATGAATTTCAGACCGTTGCACCACCTCGACCCCCTTTATCACCTCCATCGCGGCCTTCTTTCAATGGCCATATTTCTTCTCCAAAAATCTCAGATATGAATAAATCGCCAAAAATCACGAAAGGATTTAAAATTAATGGATCATCTTTGCCTAAAAATAATAAAGATAAAAGTAAGAGTAAACCGGGGATTAAACGAAAAGATATATCCGATGCAAAGCAAAAAAATATGGAAATTTCAAAACGCACTGAATCGCCTCCCTTGATTCAAAAAGTTATCATAAAAAAGGTTTGTTCCTTATTTTCGAAAAGTTTTTTAATCCAGATATTTTTTTCATGTGATAATAATAGTTTCCTGTAAAATTTTATATCTCCTATCGGTCTTATAAATATGGTGTTTTTCCACTGAATTTAAAATAACGATTTGATTATGAGCTCCTGCAAATTTTCCAGTTTAATAATAATTTCTTAAATTGTTCATAAATTTTTCTTAAATTGTTAGTGTTTTATTATTACATCTTCCCTTATTATTCAGGAACCAGTTGTGCGAATTATTACACCAATAACAAATTATAAAGATTCTGAGAAAAATGGGAAAATTATTAATATTTTGGTTAGATCTAATTTATTTGTGTCTTTTTTTAATGAATATTCATTCATTCACGAAATATTTATTTGTGGCAATTTTTTTCTTAACAGATATTGCTGGATTTTATTTTTATTATTTCGTTGTTTTAGAAGTTATTTCGTTTTAATTTAATTGTAATTTTCTTTTTTTTGAAGAAGGATATCAAAGATGAACGTTCTGGGTCTTCTGTATCGAATCATAAAGAGAGCGAAAAGGATAAGGGGAAAGAATTGAAATTGGTCAATGAACAATTATCTAGTGCTACAAATGAAAAAAGTGAGCAAAAAGATAAATTGAAAGCGAAGGATTATTGTAAAGCAAAGGAAAAGGATGCAAATAAACGAGATAATGATAAACAAAAGCAAGGAAATCTACCAATAAGCAAAACAGTTAATGATTTGTCAGATTCTGTCGTCAATAGTAATTCGTTAAAGGAAAAAGATGGGAAACGGAATGAAAAATTGAAAGAATCGAATCAGATGCGTGAATCGAGCATTGCCGATAAATCATATAATTACAACGTTATAAAGGAAATGAAAGAAAAGGAAAAGTCAAGGAACAAAGATGAAATTTCGAAAGAAAATAGAAAAGATCTAAGTGTTACTGATAAAAATGATTCACTGAGGAAGGTAAATCATATATTGAAATCATATATTGAAAAAAGATTGATGTTGTAAGGCATAGATTACTTTTTTTATCTTATCAAAAATTATTGGAATAGCAAATCTAACCAAATTTTCGTTTTTGTATTTTTTTGGTGCATTATTCTTCTTCTAAAAGTTCCCATTACTGGTTAGGCTGGCTCTGCTGGCTACAAGGATATGGCTTCTCCAAGCTGCTCGGTCTGACGGGTTAGTAATAGAAGCCATTCCTTTTTTCATCGTCTAAGTCTATATTGCTTGTCTCCATATTCAAAATCTCTCCTGATTTTATCAGTCCAGGTCTTGATTGGCTGTCCTCGCTCCAACTTTTTACTCCAACCATCACAGGGTTCGTCAAATAGCGAAATATGCGTCAACTCCTGTGGTGGACGACGGAGAACGTGTCATAACCAGAGAAGGCGACGCTCAATAATAGTATTATTAATACAGGTGGTATTTGAGTGAATGGATACAATCATGTGTGATTTTATCCGCTCGACTGTTTTTTTTTGGTGTATTATTAGCTATCCTGAACTAGGTGTGTTCGAATTCATGTAGGACCATAGTTTCATTTATTATGATCCAGTTATATAATTATCGCTTAATAAAACTAATCTATATAAGCGCAACCCAAAACTGCATTTTTCCTTTCCAGTTAGTTTGTTATATCACCATCTAACTAATTTGTTTCTCCGGAAATTTGAAGCGAAAATCAGCATTTCTTTGAACTTTCGCATCCGTTAAGTGGACGTTCTCTGAAACAAATTTTTTATTAATCAGTTTTGTTTTTTCTTTTTTTGTCATTTTTGATTGTATTTAAAATTCCTATATATACAATAATAAAATGAATACAATAATTTTAAACTATCTATTTTAAATTTGCGTTAATTCACAAAATAAGATTATATTAAAAATAAGATTATATTAAAATCGAAATCAAAGATTCTCCAAAGATCTTACATATTTTCATAGAATCGTCAAAATCATGAAAGCGATTCATGTTGTGCTCAACGTACCGCTCCTGCAATGAAGTTTGCATTTATTAAAAATGAAGATGGGTCTTTTAAAAGCCCAACTTTTTACCAGTCTGATGTGGCTCGTCCATTAAAGCATCAAGCTGATAAAGAAGTAATTTTTATATATTGAATTTTTTGATTTTACTTTTTGTATTTCAAATGTATCAGATTTCCATCTTTATTTGCAACAGTAAATTCCATTTGAATCCATCCAACAGTTTATTTATTTTCCTCTTTTTTTAGGCGAATGAAGATAAGGTTAAACGTACAATATTATATCTGGAATCAGTAGCATATTTTATTCTTTCTATTGCTGTTAAAAACCTCAAATCTTATAAAGATACTAGTATCTTATCTCAGCAATATAACAGTTTACGGGAAACAGCTGAATTACTTAAGTATGTTTTGAAATTAAAATTTGTGCCCTTTTTTTAAATATTGATCATATTTTAATTTCTATATCAAATCCTTTCGTATTTATTTATTCTAGAACTTCAACAAATCGTTTTACACAAATCGCAAACCATCCACCGGCAGTTTTGCACTTTGTTAGTCGAGTAAAATTATTATCGAATCGTACTCAAGCAGTTTTAAATTATCATCTCTTCTATTTAAGGAGTCAGGTGGGCTTATATGCTATGCATAAATTTTTTTTTTCATTTCCTTTCTTTTGTATTAATTATCTATAAATAAAATGGGTTGTTGCCTTCATTTTGGAGCGCTTGAGTTCTAATCTGGGCTAGAGTGAAAAAAACGATTAAAAATGATTAGGCAACTCACGTAAACTTCTGGCTTCGAGTGACTCCCTGGCAAAATTTTTCTGGTCCGACAAACCAGCGAATCTATTCAAAATGGTATTCTTAGTATTCTTAAAAAAGCATTTCATTATTTTTCATCTTTTTTTTTGTCTTTGTCTTATTTTATTATTTTTTGTAGCAAGCTATAAAAAATTATGGAATATTGGCTAATTTCGAGCCACGTAGTTTGGAACTGGAAAAGGCTGCCATTAAGGGTGAAAATATTTCTAATGGATCGCAGAGTTCTCGGTCAGCTGCGACTCCTTCTCCAGCATCGTCTACACACAGTGTTGGCAGTGAGCGGCAGAAAGAAGTATAATTTATTTGAATTTTTCTTTATATTTGCTTAATGAAATAAATTTTTCTTACTTGATGTTTTCCTTGTTTTTATTTTTTATTTTTCATTATTTTCATCATTTTATATTTTTAAAGAATATAGTTGGTTTCTGTGAAAATTTATTCAAAAATTTCGCTAATTTCGCTCTCTTTCACTTTCTTTAAGATTACTGTTCCACTGAACGTTTATCAAACTCAGAGATCTCAATTGAAGATTCTTCATCATTTGTTATGGGCTTATCGGATATGGTCTGAAACTGATGCTTCAATGTCGAAATTAGAAAAGGGTATAGTCGTTTATTTCAGCTTTTATTAAATAAGTTAAAGTAAATTTTGGATTAAAGTAAATTATTATCTAGTGAGCTTCGTTCTTTATTTAAAAAATACTTACGATATAAAATTTTTCATCTCTTCTTATTACCATTTTTTGCAGTTTTTTTATCAAAAAATTTTTGTTTTTTAAATTCGTTTTATATAAAATACTTTTAATCTTTTTTGCCATGTCTGCACTTCATTATCCATATGTAAAATTCAATTTTGTCTTATTTTTATTCAAAACGTATTCCATGTTAATATTAATTGGTGAATTAATGTTTCCGATTGTTTTATAGATATGGTTACACATCTTGATGAATTATGCGGCCGATTGATGATTGAATCAGATTTATTTATTTTAAGCGAGTATTTGGCGACGGGGGCATCATGGCTTTCAGCTGAGTACGAAATGGAGAAGTTGTTTCTTGAAAAAAATTAGCATTAATATTAATATTAAAAACACATATCATCTTACATCGCTTTATTTACTTCTTGCCTTTCAGTTTTAATTCTTAAAAATTTCCTTAAAGCTATTTTCTAAATTTCTTCCATCCTTATTTTTAATAATCCAATCTTTTTGAATTTTTCAAAGATTTAATTTGTTTATTGGAAAATTTTCTTGAAATACTACTCATATAAATTTTTGAACAAAAATTATAGAAGCGCCTCGGAATAAAGTAGATTAAAACAATATTTTATGAAAAGATTCGTCTTATTTCATTGTGATATTTGTATAGATTTATAAAAAGATAGATCATCGGCTAGTCGTTTATTTCTTATTAATATTGTTTCGGTTGGTATATTCAATAAATTTTTTTGTTGTAAAAATGGGAAGTTTTTATTCTTACTTAGCTAATTATGTATTAGAATTTTATTTCAGTATAAAATTTCTTACAATGCGATTTTCTAAAGTTGGGGTAAAATTTATTCGCAATAGAAAAGTGTCCTTTTTTCAAGGTGGAATTTTTCCATTTCTTAAATATGGAGAAACTATATTTGCAATTCGTTGATTTTTGCCTTTTTTGTCGTTGTGCCAACTGAATTTTGCCTTTTTTGATGAAAGAATGGGCTCATTTGAAAGATATCTGCTAATAAGAATTTCTTACAGATTCGTCAATATAAATTATATAAGTGTGGTAGCTAAACGATAGGTGTGTGATATTTCCTTATTGTTTTGCTGCTCAGTTCATGTAAATTTCTTTGAATTTTTTCCCTTACGATTATGGGTATAACTATTTATTTATAAATAATTTTTTAGTTCAAAAAGGAATGTAAACCATCGTTATTGGTCTTTTTTTAAAAAAAAATATCGGTCTATTTATTTAAAAAGAAATTCGCTTTTTTTTCAGAATTGTATTGTAATTTAATAATTTTTAGGAGGGAAATAATTGTATTGTACTTTAATTAATCAGATACTTTTTTGTAAGATGCACCATAATTCTGTTTTTGTGGAATTTTTGTGGAATGCCTGTGGCAATTTCGAATTCATTTTCTGTTTTCGTTTATTTTTTATCGGTTTATTATTTTTGGGGTCTTTCTTCTCAAAAGTGATTATTATCTTTCTATTTTTTTAAATCGAAGCGTGTCATCATTTTTTTTGTTTCATTGTTTCTTGCAGTAAAGGAAGGTAAAGTTTGAACATATTTTAGGTAAAAGTACAATTCGATGGGTTTTTTAGTAAAAAAAAATTTGTTTGCGTCAAATTTGTAGAAGTAATATATGGTAAATAATAATTTTTTTGTGATATGAATTATTAAGATGTACAGTTGTAAATTATTTATACAGCACTTTTATTATTTTTATTTTTATTTTTTGATTTGATTTGATTTGATTTATATTTATTTCAAGAAAAATAAGAAATATTATTTCAGTTGTCAGACATTTGCCGAATTACCCAGAGATTTTAAAGAAATTCTTCAAAATTAGAAAGTTTCAGTGAAAAATAAATATTTGGAGAAATTGCGAAATAAATAATTTGAGAAGAATACTTATAATTGGCTGGATGAAGATCTTGTTATTACCGCTTTTATTCGTTGCAGATTCGTTCGTTGTTTACGTATACGTACGCATGTATAGAATTATTTTGGAAGTGTTTTTAAGATTACGTTTTAATTAACATTTTTGGACTTTTTGGCGAGTACGTGGTGAGGTAATAATAATTTCGACGCAGCTGAGGAGGATTCGTAGGTTTCCTTTTTTTTTCGGTTGTAAAATTTGCAAGTAAAGGATTATTTAATTATTTATTTATTATTTAATTACTAAATTGAAATTTGGATGATGCGAGAGTAGTATCCATCAATATTTCTATCCTCAAGTGGATCTGTGGCGGAAAGAATTCATCTTAGAAGAACCAGGCAGAGTATATCATTTCACTTTTACCAGAATTCAATTCTGAATTCATGCATGATTAAAAGAATGAGATGGCTGCGGAATTTTTCTCCCGACAAATTTTAGTTATTTAACAACCAGGGCTGCTAAGAGTCTATGTGAAGGAAAAGAATACAGCAAATGGAGAGTAAAAAAAAGGCATAAATAAGAGTGAAGCAAATTGATAAAGTTATATTTAATAATGCTCAAACTAACTAGTGATTTAAATATTTTCATTTAATTTATTCTTAAAACTGTCAACGGAGGAAGGAAAAATAATTTCAGTTGGCAGTTTATTGCTGATAATTGATTAATCAATTCCAAAAATCACTTAAATAATTATTACATTTTACAAATGATTTTACGCATTTGAAATATTTAGTACATAATTAATTTTAAAAATCTAAAAAGTTTACGAAGCGTAGATATGATTAAAATTCTTATTAAAATTAGTAATCTTAAGAAAATCGTTACATAATTTATATATCAATATAACGATTCATATATAATGTAACGATTTTATATTTATATATTTATTTATAATTTTATATATAATTTTAATTTACGTTAATTCGTAAGATCTCAAACGACATACGAAATGTTTTTGCGGATTCTCAATTAGTTTGGTCTAAAATAATATTTATTATCGAAGTATTATCGAAGATTCAAGCTTAGCAACAATTCTGGTTGAAGTAACTTGTCGAATTAATTTATTCTGCAGAACTTTATCAAATCAGAAGTCAACTTTCTCAAAATTCACACGGAATCCCTTAATAGTGCTGCCAACAACTATGGACACCTTGAGCACATTTTAAAATTTCTTCTGAATCTTCATATGGTTCTGGTCACAACTTACAATTAAAGATAGCCAATCAGAAATTTGGATTCGTGAATTCTTGATAAATTTATGATGAATTATTTGTTCAACATGTTTTAAAAATTCCTTCGGAATATCGTTTTCATTTCATTTCATTTCCTTTCTTTTCTTTCCAGTTGCTGTAAATATCGAGGATCCCTTGTCAAAGACGACATATATCCAAAATTTCTTTTAAAAACCTAAAGGCCAGCAGGATAAAACAAATGAATTTTGAACTCTCATTAACTATGACCCGTATTTTATGTCACTGAATTAAATAAATCAGCCTTTGAAGGCAATGGTCTCCTTGATAGCATCTGATTAGGATTAAGGATTAATATGGAGCATTTTTTGGCGTTTTTATTGTAAAGGGCTCTGCTTTCCCTGTATGGTATTCTTATGTTTCTTATGCTTTATTGAGGTCGAGCGATTCGATTGTTCTCTATTTTGGGTCCAAATTTGTTATTATTTGTAACTGTTCATTATTGTATGTCGTTGTTCATCGCTTTTTATCGCATTCCAATATAGTCCAACCGCTCAAAGCAAAATAGCTGAGAACATGGTTCTGTATGCAAACTGAATCAAGTTGAAACATTTTTAGTCCATTTTTTTCTTTCTCCCACTATTACTGGTTAGACAAGTTCCTCTGGCTAAAGGGTAAGATGTTTACCAAGATGCGCGATTGATGCCATTGTCGACAGTTATAGAAGCCATTCCTTTTTCACTGAAGTCCATATATTGCTGGTTCACCTATACATTCAAAATCTCGATTGACCTTATCAGTCCAGGTATTGACTGGTCCATCTCGCTTTTGACGCCACCAATCATAGGAGGTAATATATTATCTCTTGTGGTGGGCGACAAAGAACGTGCCCTAACCATCGACGCTCTGTGATACTGTTAATGTAATATTTGAACGAAGGTAGATGCAATTATGTGAGATTTTATCCACTCGGCGAACTCGTAAATTGTATCTTAGGCATATGTTTAAAGACAGATAACTTCTTAAGTATGTTTAACGCCACCAGTCATAGAATATTTAAGTATGTTAAGTATGTTTATCCTCTTCTCTCAGCCATATAGCAAGATCGAGCGAATGATGACTATATAGACGCGGACCTTCGTTTATATGGTGATTTCGCGACGACTGCAAAAAGGTTTTGATAATTGGAAGAACGTATTTCTTGCTACCGCTATCCGGGTTTCACCTTTCGCATAGCCATTCGTATAAAAGTGGATCCAAGGTATTTGAAATCGGGCACATCCTCAACCGGCAATGAATTTATAAAAGTAGAAGTAGATATTAAAGCAGATATTTTATCAGCTTTTTTACTCTATTACTTCTTGTTGAATTATTATTCAAATAAAAGTTTAAATATTTAAACCAATTATCTAAAATTTATCTAAAAAATTTGTAAGACCTCGTTTAATTGTCTTGAGAAAACCGAGGTAATTCTAAATTTATAACTGGCTAAAGGCTTAGATCTTAAAAGTATGAATGTTTTCAAAAGTATGTTTTCAATTAATTAATGTATTTTACTGAGTAACATTGTGCTATATTTTAAATGAGACCTCACGAATATTCTATAGGTTCAATAAATACTTCAAAATATCCTAAGAAATAAGTTTGGAACTAAATTTTTTAAATGAAATTCTAAAAGAAAACGATTTTTGTTATGCTGCAGTGAAGGTCGAAGTCACGATTTTCATCAGTAGCTATTCCAACATCTGAAAAGAAATAGCACGAAGAGTATTAACAATAAATTGTTGGAGGATCGTGTAACATTTATCTAATGAAAACTTAATTTATCTTTCTTGGAACCCATTTTATCAATATCATTTTGCAGCGGTTAAGATACAATCTCTTATGAGAATAACGATTATCAAGTATGCATTAAATTACTACGTTAATAGTCAATTAATAGTATAATAAAAAACGGACCAATATAACTGCCTTGAGACATTCTTGATTCAACTGGAATAAATGCTATTGAAAATTCGAACAGCTTGATAACAACCAATTAAATAAGCTCTTAATTTCAGTAAATCGAAAATACCTAAAAGCTTTATCGAACTGAATAGCTTATTGTGAGAAATTGTACCAAGATCTTTGGCCAGATCCATATTTTTTTTTTTTAAAGAGCCCTCACCACTACTGCTTAAACTCGCTCCGCTGACTTGTTGCCATGAGTCTTTTGGCGATAGAAATACGGGTG